TACAAGTCCATCAGTTAATGTAATAATTGTCCCAACCACAGCTGCACCCCCCAACCCGGTCTCAGCAATCAGGGGCAAGCTGCACGTGTGTTTAGCACGCGCACATTTAGCTGTTTTTATCGGCTCAGAAGTCCGCAGGTGCGGTGTGTGTCATTCACTCTGGTTACTCCAACAGGGAGCCAGCTCCAAGAGCTGTGTCTTTAGCGACCGACACATCACTACATCATTCCCTTTCCTAAAGTCCTGAAGAACGGTCCGGAGTGCAGGCGGAGTGTTTAGCTAACCTGCAGGAAATGTCGACGACAGTTATCCAGAAAGTAGCTAAGGGTCACCAGAGATATTTCTGAGATGTTCGCTAGGTACCTTTAAGATTTAAAAAGTCAAGAAGGGGGTCTGAAAAGCTGTAAGTCACCAAGTTGGCAACACTGTGGGAGGAGCGCTTCATTTGCAACTTGGGTTGTCACGATACTAAAATTTCTAACTCGATTAGATACTGGACAAAAAACTCGATGCTCGATTTCGATACTAATTAAAAACACCAATTTATTGAACAAGTTTATTCAAAAAATAATATTCCTCAATTTATATTGCAAAAATTAAATGTTAAGAATTAAGTGTGTAAAGTGCTTAAACCTTTCAAGTATCAGCATTTTTTAAAACGTGCATACAAAAACTGGTGAAAGTTAACACTTTAAATCATGAATTGTCTCACTATATATACACTATTAGCAGAGTGATGTTTTGCTGCTTAAACTCTGTTTAAGGTGCATTTTTGTCATAAGATGTAATGCCGTATGTTTTGTTCTGTACTTTTGAACAACTCTGTTGGTCAATAAAGGGAGAAAATGAATTTCTCCACAGTAGGACAAAGGTACATCTACCGGTAATCTTAATGAAAACAGATTGGCGCACGGCAGTGACGTCATTAAAAGCGCCGGTTAGATTAGCCGCAGCTAGTCTGTTCACGCCTAGAAATCCCAGACCCGCTCCAAACGAACAGGGGAATCCTGTTAATGATTCCTAACAAAACCTTTCGACATGAAGATGTTTTGGTGCAGATAATGTCTTATTTCGAGGCTGCACCATGGGCGCCCGTCCACACCCGTTATATGGATATACGCAGACGGTGATTCGGCGATGGATCTAAATACCCCGGGGAATCCAAGTAGTACCAAAGTTGTCAGCGTGAGTAAACAAACGTACTGCATGCTAGAAATTAAGACCGGGTTGCAATAAACGGGAGTTTCCTTTAAGCACATAAGCGTGAATATACAACTACGTGTCGGACTTGGTATGCTAATTAAGTTGGGCTGTGAAGCGCCTCCAAGTTCGCTGTTTATGTTTTTGTTTATTTATTTGGCAGACAAAACTTGGATCGGAGACAACTCGCGTGGAAAATTGCTATGTAGCCATGCGGCGTCTTCTTCTGTTTGTCTGGGAGGCGGAGGCTGCTTTACGGCATCTGGCTGTCGTGCGTGTCGGTGTACTTGAAGAAGGCTGTGTATAATAGTCCATAATATCGATACCACAGGGATGGAATATCGTATTTAGATACCACTTTTAGCATCGATTTATATCTAGGTATTGGTTTTTTTGACAACACTATTTGCGACTCAGGGCAGCACAAGTGGGAGGAGCAACTAATCGGCTTGTTTTGTTTTTATAATCGTTCGAAACTCGGATCGTAATTGGTATTAAGGTAAACCAGAACCATCGGGTTGGAGCAGAAACTGGTTTCGGTGCATGAGGGCTGCATCGGTGCATCCCTACCAAACACCACTGATCTGTTTCCCACCAGCCTCGGCTCTCGGGGTTGAACCAGTACCAGCGGACCGGGTCGGGCCACGTTCCCGTTTCTTGTGCCGAAGCTTCTAAGTGTAACTGTGTTTACACATGGCAGAACATCAGGAGATCCCACCCTCCTGGAAACGGCCCGAATAAAGAAACAAGCCTGCACTCTGCACCGTTTCCCATGAGCCCGACCTACCAGAACCTTTACATGGCCCATTTATCCGAATGGGCTTTCACCCGCAGCTCGCCGCACTCGGAGGAGCGGCTCGGAAAAGTCATCAGGTCCTCATTACCGTCATTACTATAATTAGGTTCTATATTTAAGCCCGTGAAACGAGGCCAGATGAGTGTGTGTGTGTGTGTGTGCGTGTGCGTGTGTGTGTGTGTGTGTGTGTGTGTGTGCGTGTGTGTGTGAGACTAAACCCCCCCCCCGGGACCTGCTGCAGTGGTATGGGTTCTGGAAGCAGGTTGTTTAGAATGGTTGCCATGGCAATCCTGGTTTCTCCCAGGTTTTTGTGTTTCTGTGTCCAAAACCGCCGTCGTTGGTATTAGAATGACGTTTGGACCAGAGAGGAACCAGAACCACCCAGAGAGCTCTTACTGGAACCAAAGGTCTTGCAGCTTGGCGCCAAGAATCACGTTGGTTCTGTTTGGCTAAAGGTCAAAGGTGACAGATCATCTGCTGCTGTGGCCCCAGACTCTGGACCTCTCTCCCTCTGAGCCTGAGATCAGTGGACTCAGTGGTCTCCTTTAAACTCACCTGTTCAGGCTTTTGTATGACCTCCATCACCTCCCTCACCTTGTTCTGCTCTCCCTACCTATTCCACCTTCCTCAGGATCCACTGATTTCCCTCTTTCCTGTTCACTCTCTCTCTCTTTCTTAACATTTTTTAAATCATAATTGTCTATTTTTGCTCATTTTAAATATATTTTTAAAATTTTCTAAATTATTTTTTATATTTTTACATTTATTGCTTTTGCGAAGCGCCTCGTGGTTTTTATCTCGAGAGGCGCTATAGAAACGATATTTTCTTCTTCTTCCGTTTGTGCGGATTCAGCCAGGATTCTGATCCAGGTCCGAGTCTCCAGAACCACCGAGCTGGATTTCAGCTTTGGCCTTCCCGGTCTGGTACCGTCGTTTGTCTGGGTCAGAGGTTCGGGTGCGTTCGTGGGCCGAGGAAACCGTTTCTATGCGTGTTTACTCTGATTGGGCGACGTGTTTGAATGTCGGCTGGTTCACAAACCCGCTGATCAGATCTGTTTGGTGATGAAGCCGAGTCGTAGAACTCCTCCTCGTCATCGCTGCTCTTCACCACTCGGTCGCTGACTGCAGCAAAACAAGACTTAATGTAAAAAAAAATCCAAAACATCAAATCTTGGTTGTGAAGGTTTAAATCTCCAGTTTTATTTGATGAAGCTGACGCTTAGATGTATGTCTGTACAGGAAGACGGACTGTTTGCCATCCTGCTACAGGAGCCCAGAAGGGACAAATAAAACTTTAGTTGTCGGTTTGAAGTAGAAGAATCCAGTCTGAGCCTGAGGACGTAGAAACGTTCTTCAACCTTTGAACGCGATAAAAACTCATCGGCGTGACGACGAGGACACGCCCAGTCGCCTCCTCCTGGCTTCAGACACGTCTGCTGTTACCGGTGACCTTTGCCCTCAGATATCTGATTCACTGGTTACAATGTTTGCGTGTTTGAAACCAGTGAGAACCTGTGAACAGCGTCAGCCCATTTCCTTGGATCTGTGTGGTCCCTGAACTCACCACGACGTCACACTCAGCTCAGCTCAGGGGGGAGGGGAGGTTTCAGGCTGAAGATGGTTTTAGATGGAGATGCACTGATTCTGCTTTTTAAAGCCGATACCGATTTCTGATTCTTGACCTGCTGCTCCAGATTTCCCTCTAAGACGTGAACGGTATGCAACTTTTAAAGTTTCTGATTGAACCTGATTGGATCCAGGCCTCCTCCTTACCTCAGTCATCCCTCGGCGTGGTTCTCCATCAGGAGGAGGAACAGAAGAAGAACGTTGGCTCTAAATAAAGCCTCCAGCAGACTGACGGGAAGCTGCCCGTGGTTTGGTTTGGGTGCTTCTGCGTTGATGCCAGCTGGGCGCAGATATTCTGGTCGTTGTTGTTTGGTGTCAGTGTGTTCAGGAGGACAGAAGGCATGTCTGCTCCCGCTGCTGGCTTAACCTCCTCAGCGAGGGTCTGGATGTTCTTCTGCATCAGGATAATTGTTTATCTTCGTCAAACACAGACCCTGCAGGCTTGTTCTCACGTGAGGGAGGACGGGTCAGAGCCGCGGCCTTTATGACCCTCAGAATAAAATACGATCAAATGAAGGAACCAAGTTCACAAAGGAGTTTCCAAAACATCTCCGAACTTTCGCCGGGGTTCTCGCGGGGCCTCACCCTCCGTCTGTGTTTACGCCGGTATCTCACAAGCCTGATTGTTCAGTCTGTCCCTGAACTCACCACGGTTATTTCCCATGACCAGATTCAGGTTTTATCATAAGGTGAGTTCTGTAAACTCCAGTTCCCTCAGATGAGTCAGAATGGGTGGGTTAGGAGGTCCAGGGCGGCCGGGCCCACCAACGGTACCAGAAACAAACCCACGGCTCTCCTGGAGCTGTAAAGGCTTTGTGTTCTGATCAGAGATTATAATCTGATTTAATCCTGCAGAGTTTCTTCTTCCTGTTTGTTTTCTTCTCATTCCGACCCAGACGGATCCAGAACCTGGAACTGCCAGGTTCTGGATCAGGCAACGTGCCCTTGAGCAAGTCACGCACATCTTAATTGCACCTAATGGGGCGTGCACGGCTGGAAGTGCACGGCCGCTCTACGAAGGTTGAAAACAAGCATTCGTGCCCGTTTCCTCCCTCCTGCTGATGCGTTTAACGAGCTAATCGGTCCTAAATGCCGCGGCGCTGGGGGCTCGTTACCCATGAGCCCTCACCAGACCTTCCCAAAACCCTGAGAAGATCCTGTCAAGTTCAGGTTCAAGCGCAGCTGAAGGTCGCGAGGTCGTGTGACTGCACGGCCTTTAGCAGCTGCTGGGGGCGGGGCTATGATGCCCTACGGGGTCATGATGGGAAATGTTCACCAGCTTTATTTGTAATCACCAGATTTAAACATGGATGAAAGCTGTGGTGTGTGTTTGAACCGTTCGGCGCGTCTAACAACAGTTTTGTTTCTGTGGCTGCAGAACCTGATGGCCAAGGCGTTGTACGACAACGTTCCAGAGTCTCCCGAGGAGCTGGCGTTCCGGAAGGGGGACATCCTAACCGTCATCGAGCAGAACACCGGCGGCCTGGAGGGCTGGTGGCTGTGCTCCCTGCGCGGCTGTCAGGGCATCGCTCCCGGGAACCGCCTGAAGCTGCTGATCGGACCCATGTTCGAGGCCCAGTCGTCGGGCGCCGCCGCCCAGGCTCCTGCTCCGAGCCTCCAGCAGCAGGGCCTCTACCAGGTCCCACCGAGGAGCACGCTCAGCGCTGAGAGCGCACCCAGCAAGGTGAGAGCTGCTCCCTTTATCGGCTAATCTGGCAGTTAGCTTTCTGGTGAATCCAGAGGAGGAATTACCCAGCAGCTTATGGGGTTTATTCTGATGAGATTAACGGAAAAGCTCGTCATTAGAAGCAGCTGCAGAGGTAGGATGGAACATGAGCAACCGGTCCAAGACCCTGGCCCGGTCCAGGTCCAGGTCTCCTAAATCTTCTGGTCTCCATCACTTTTCCAATGAGCAGCTGAACTTCTGCCTGCAGGAACGGGTCATGTTCAGACGGTCTAACCGGGCCGGTGAGACCCGGTTAGCTGCTGTTAGCTCGTCCTCATCCTGCTGCTGCACCGCTCAGCAGACCTTCAGGACAGCAAGCTCTCACCTCTTTCCAGCCTTCAGCTGAAGCTCAGGATTCCTGAAAGTTTAAGCTCTCCTCCTCCTCCTCCTCCTCCTGCTCCTCCTGCTCCTCCCCCCCTCCTCCTCTGGCAGGTCTGTGGGAACACGAGGAGAAAACTTTCCCGGTTATTCATCCGTGTAACTTCTCCAGACGTGATCGGATTAGAATTAGAACCTGAAGAGGTTTTTAGTTGAATCAATCCGGTTGTTGCCGGAATGATCTCAGGTGTGTTTCAGCACCTGTCGGCCATCCTGGGGGGTCCAGTGGTGATGAAGTGGGTGGAGCTCAGATCCAAGGTGATGGACGATCTTCTCCCTGAGATGCTGGATGAACCCCATCCCGGCCTCCTGAGGTTTGGCGGCTCCTTCCTCTCTGGCTGCGGATCTTACGGCCACACAGAAAGCCCGTTCATGCAGAGCAGCCTGTCCCGGTTCTGCTGTTGGCTCCTGTTCTGACTCAGGCGTTTGGGTTAGATTTCTGCTCTCATCTGCTCCTCCCAGACGGCCCGTTTCGTCTCTGTTCTGATCCGATCAGCTGACTGGAGCCATGAAGAGGTTCTGCTGCAACAAAAGGTTTGATGAATTCCAGTAACGGCTCCTGGGTCACGGGGGCGTGTCGTCCGTGTAGATAAAGGTCCGGGTAGCGTGTAACAACAGCTGCTCCGGCTCCCGATCAGGGACCATCTCCTCCGGGACCTGGACCCATCCTCCAGCCCCTCGGATCCAACTGAAGGTCCTAAATGATCATCAGCTGCAGATGCGGAGCTTCGGACTGATTTAGTCCGATCCCAATAAACATTTCCAGGTTTTCTCAGAATTCTGAAGACCAGACTAAACGATCCCAGATTGTCTGAGCGGCGTAAACTAAACTAAAAGCTAACATCTTTGGTTCGGTCGACTACAGATTTAGATAATTTAGCAAACCACAGGCGTGAGACGTCTAGCCCTAAGCCATGATCCTGGTGCTTCGTCTTCTTCCAGGATTCTCTCATCTCAGACATGTCCACTAAATGCCCACGACTTATTCCAGATTATCACTGCGAGGGATTAAAACGCTGCTTTGATCTGAGCGGCTGGTTCTGATGGGACCCGTCTGCTCTGTTTGGGCCAGACGTGCTGTGGTGCTTCGATGAGCTGGTTTGTCCTGATGGGTTAGGGAGGTGAGGAGAGAGAAGCTGCTGCGTGTCCGCAGCTCCAGCTGGAAGGAAGTGGTTTCATGTGTCGAGCAAACGAAAAGGTGTCAAATGATGAATTTCTGAGAAACACTAAAAGTCTGACGGAGCAGGAATAAACCCGGACGCTGCCGCTAAAAGCTTTCTAGGTCTGAAACTTCCTGCTAACAGGAGCGCTCATCAGCTGGCCTGGATCTTTACGTTTAAAGCAGCTTTTGTTGGAATCCCGGAAGACCGGGGAGCGTCGCTCAGCTCCGCCTGCCTGAACCTGAACCTGCTGCTGAGTAAACACGCGGCTGCTGCAGGCTTCTCACCTCCGTATGGGCGGGGGGGGGGGGGGGGGGGGGGGGGGTCAGCTCACACCTGAGCGGGAACTGATGTTTGCTCACTTCCTGCTTCACTCCATGACGTCATCACTCTGTGACGACTCAGGAGGTGATGTGGACATGTGCCCTCCAGCAGGTGCAGCAGCTTTGAGATGACAGGCTGATGTGTGACGGCTCCCGGTCAGAGGTCATCCGGAGACACGCTGCTAAATTCCTGCTTCAGTCCCATCCGGATGACGCTGCCGCACGACGTTCAGACGCCGGTCTGCCGGAGGCGGGTCTTGGTGTGAACGATCAGCTGGTCCTGGTAAAGCCACGCCTCCTTTAGAGGAACTCGAACCACGCAGCGGCTCTCCTTCAGAAACAAATCTTTTAATTCACCGTCTTCGCCTCCAGGAATCTTTTCCAGATGTGCCAGAGCGAGCTGTGATGCATTTAGGAGCCCGTGGGAAAAGCTAAACTCACAGTACTTGGTGCAGAAAGCCACCTTTGATCTGATACTCGGGAGTTAAGATGCCGTCACAAGTTGGGTTTTTGTTGTTTAGTTTGACTCTAGGACGGTCTGGAGCTCCCTAGTTGGGATGCTGCCCCCGCGACCCGGACCCGGATAAGGGGAGGAAGACGACGACGAGTTTGACTCTTTTTTAACTCAGAAGGGACCAATCAGGGCTTCCCGTCATCTCTAGACCTGTTTGTGGCTCGTTACCGCGGCGACTGAGCAGTAAAGGTCTTCTGGTGTTAGTTGTTCCTCTGGCGCTTTAACCTGTGCCTCTCAGCGCCGACCCTCAGCGCTCTGCCGCGCGATGCCTTCACAGACAGGAATGTGGCTGTGAGCTTCTGGAATCACTGATGAGAAACATATGGAAAACCGTCAGTCAGACTCCAGCTCACGTGAATGGAATTCCTCCCCATAGAAGGAATCTCGTTTTCCGCTCCTCTCCGTCTGGTTCTGAGGTCACATTCCACAAATGCCACCGAGAAGCTGCTTGGATCCGGACCTGCTCCGAGGCCTGCGGCCGACCCGGGGAGCCTCTGCCAGGAAGTCTCAAGCATGGATCTGAGCCTGAACCCTGTAGTGGGGGTCAAGGGAGGTGAGCTGGGCTCAGGAAGGACATTCCCAACATTCCTCTTGTCTTTGAGGTTTGGTAGAGTAAACGAGACGGATCAGGAGGTGTGGAAAGCCTGATAAGCGCTGACGGGAAGAGGAGAAGGCTAACGGGGTCATATTAAACGTTTGGGCTTATTTATCATGGAAGAACTTTCCAAACGGCGTTTTGGTGCGGGAGTTTAGGGCGGGGGTGGCGTTGGTACCCGAATCCCTCAGCGCTGTTCTCTCTGCAGCTCCGAGTTCCCGTTGGCGAACGGGATTCCTGCGTCGGGTACGGTGAAACGAGGAGGGGCGTGTCCAAAAAGATCAGCCTCACATGCTGCGGGGTCGCTCGGGGACGAGGAATGAGCCGAGCGGTGGGAGAGTCTGACGGGCTGTTTCTGTTCTCTGCTGTGATTGGACAGGTGGTGGTCCCGACCAGAGCGGGACAGTCCTACGCCTTCGGCCCCGGACAGCACAACCAGCAGGACCTGTACGACGTGCCGCCCAGCAGGTCTCAGGGGGTAGGTGTCCCCTCCTGATGCGTTCTCCACCTGATCAGGAGGAGGAGGTCCTGTTGTGACCCCGGTGTTCTGACCCAAACCCGCAGCCAGAGAAAATCTGTAGTTCCCTCCTGAACTCCAGGCTTGGCTCAAAAACCTGGAAACTCAGCCTTTAGGCATCAGATGACTTTTATTATTTATTCCTAAATATTCCATCTTTTTGCTGTTTGAAGCTGCTGAACTCTGTTTTTAATCCTTTTCTAAAAGCATCTCTTCTGTTTCAGACGTACGACGTTCCGCCAGGTCACATGTTCCTGAGTCAGCCGGGCGGAGCCAGGAACCAGGGAGTCTACGACGTTCCCCCGTCTCAAGTGGAGCCCAGAACACAAGGCGTTTACGACGTGCCCCCGTCCTCGCAGGGGGTAAGAGCGCAGCCCCCGAGCCTTTTACTGTCGGTAGTAAATGAGTCGGTGACGTTTATGAGATTCCTGCGGCTCCTCTGAGCGAGCGCCTCGGCAGCCAGTAGAGTTCCCAGAGCTGTGGCTTTGTGTTTAAACTTCATCTGTCAAAAGGTTTCTATTTCCAGAAGCTCTTAGATTTCATCAGAACCGCCGAGGCGGTTTGTTAGTAATAACATGAAACACGCTCAGACCCGCTCTTACTCCTAATTACAGCTGGCTGCTCCCGTCTCGCTGTTCCAGATGGAAATCACTTACAGCCCACAGCCTAATTCCCCCCGCTGAGCTCCCAGGATGCTTTGAGGCAGAGCGGTCGGGTTGCAGCAGGGTCAGAGCTTCGCCACAGTCGGGAACGTTTTAAACGCGTCGCTTTTTCCCGAGTAGCCGGGAAGCTGCTGCTGCTCAAGCTAAATCCAGGCTGGAAAACTGGGAAGTGGTGTGGGAGCTCTGCGGGACCATCCGTAAGTCTGGAGCAGACTCGGATGACTTCAGGATAAAATCCTGAAATCCCGTTCCGTGCCCGTTTGAGGTTCGGGAAGGAGATCGGACCGGCAGAGTCTGTTTCCTGTTGATCAGAATCTCTAATCATCTTGTTGTCCACAGATCTACGCGGTGCCCAGCTGCAGGACCAACGCAGCCCTCCAGGAGGGGAACTACGACTTCCCACAGCCCCTCAAACACAAACAGGAAGGGATCTATGACGTCCCGCCCCCTTCCCTCACCAAGCCCACCCCCAACCATCAGTCTCCTTACGATTTCCCCCCCAGCCTCGGGCCTGCCGCCCTCCGCCAAAACCCGAACCCCGACCGGAGCGAAGGCATTTACGATGTTCCTCCGACGGCTCTCCTTTCGGTTCTGGACCCCCAGCAGGACGTTTACGACTTCCCCCGGGGCGTGCCGGCCCCCCAGCTCAAAAACTCTGCCACTGACGGAAGCAAGGGAATCTACGACGTTCCAGTCCAGGAAGCTCGCGCGGTAGCGGACGTGACAGACAACGTGAACCGCCTGTCCTTTTCCAGCACCGGCAGCACGCGCAGCAGCATGTCCACGTCCTCGTCTTCAGCCGGGTCCAGCTCCGAGGGACGCCTGGTTCTGGACGTGGACGCTGCTGTGCAGAAGTTGTACCGCCTGCAGCAGGCGCTGGACCTCTCTGTCGGGGCGCTGCATTCAATGACAGCTTCCCCTCACTGGAGGACATTCCCGTTCATGGAGCGCCAGGCCAACGACGTCCGTGCGGTGCTGGATCGGGTCCGGGCCACCGTGGTGGACTTTACTACATTCTGCAGAGGAGCCGCGGCCAACGCCACGTCTCTGTCGGACTCCAGCCTGCACAGTAAGCTCCGACGGCAGCTGGGACGCCTGGAGGACTCTCAGCAGATCCTCCTGCAGACCTATCACGCTCTGGAGATTTCCAGCTGGGCTCAGAAGGCCCTGGCCTCATCCCGACCGCACCACCACAAGAGCGACGACCTGGACCGCTTCGTCATGGTGTCCAGGACAGTTCCAGACGATGCCAAGCAGCTGACTTCCACCATATCTGGGAACGCTGAGCTGCTGTTCCGACGGACGCACGCGGACGGGTCGCTCTCTAGCGGAAGCACGCCTGAGGAGAACGACAACTACGGCGGCCGGACCAAGGCCTTCCCCGCCCCCCCGGGCCAGGACAAAGACAGCATGAACAACAGTGAGAAGTGTGTGAAGAGCTGGATGGAGGACTACGATTACGTCCACCTGCAGGTCAGAACCTTTTACGGGTTTAACCGTTTAACTGTAGAGTTTTAGGTAAACGGGTCAAACAGAAAACACCACCTCTGATAACCTAAAGTGTAAAGTATAAGCGCCTTGCTCCGCAGCCGTGGGACCGGCTCATCTCATCCTGTTCCCGTTTCTTCCCAGGGGAAAGAAGACTTTGAGCGTCAGCAGAAGGAGCTGCTGGAGAAGGAAAACATCATCAAGCAGAACCCGGCTCAGCTGGGCCAGGAGCAGGTGAGACGGGAGAACTGGGTGTGGATAAGGAGGAAGGTTTAAGAGAATCAGAACCTGGGAGATGTTTGGGACGGGCTTTAGTTCTGGTTCTGGTGGAGAATAACCAGACCTCTGGTTGCTTCACAGATCAATCAGTTCAAGAAGCTGGAGCAGGAAGTGATCCAACCCGTGGAGAACGACATCCCCCAGTGGATCAGCGCGTCTCCGTCGGACCCGTCCTCCGTCCACGTCTTCTCTCGGGACCGCCAGCTGCTCGCCTTCTATTCGGCCCAGTGCGAGCAGCACTTCGTCACCCTCCTCAGCGCCGTGGACGCCTTCTTCGGCTGCGTCAGCGCCGGCCAGCCGCCCCGCATCTTCGTCGCCCACAGCAAGTTTGTCATCCTCAGCGCCCACAAGCTGGTCTTCATCGGGGACACGCTGTCCCGGCAGGCCGCCGCCCCCGAGCTGGCCAACAGGGTCATGAACTCCAGCAACGTTCTGTGTGACCTGCTGAAGACGGTGGTCACCGCCACCAAAACGGCCGCTCTGCACTACCCCAACACGGCCGCCATCCAGGAGATGGTGGACCGGGTCACGGACCTGTCGCACCACGCGCGGCAGTTCAAGGAGCAGCTGCTGCAGATGGCCTCGTCGTGATGTTCCTCCTGGCTGCGTGTGTAAATATCAGCTGTTTCCTGTAGATAGTTTTGTATTATGGTCTGTAGGTGCAGTCGTGGTGTCTCCGTAGAACTTTGTGGACTTTTCAGAACATTCCTGTTGTGTCTGAAGCACCTTATGAGCTGTAGATGTTGTTGTTTGTGGAGCTCGTCTCAGAGTAAACAACTAATCTGAACACGGGTCAGACTCGTCTTACTGACACAAGTTTTCAAACTACCAACCTTTCCTGAAAAGCAACCGGAGCCCGTTTGGCCCGGCTCTGTTCAGAACCCCTCGGCCGTTTAGATTTTCCTTCCATAAACAAGATTTTTGAACACCAGTTTCTGTCTGGGCCTGACTGGGTCGATCAGAACCGAGCCTTTAGAACCTGCAGCAGGTTTTCAGGAACCATCAGACTCTGTGGTTTTGTCTGAACGGGGGTTGAGTAAGTGAAGTGGACCGGTACCAAGGGCTCAGCAGACAGGTAGTAGCTCAGAACCAGAACCCAAGGTTCTGCCGAGTCATTTCCTCCTCTCGCCACAGACTGGTTCTGGAATTACAGCTCAGTTCCTCCAGAAGCTGCAGATGGAAACGCAGCGGTCCGGATGTGAGGGACGCGTGGCTTCGCCGGTACCACAACAGCCGGGCCTCGGCCCGCTTTGAGGTGGCTTCCATCCGGGCCTGCACGTGTGTCCAAGGCGAGACGGATGAAAGCAGGAGACTCTGAAGTTTCATCCAAACGCATCGACAACGATTCGCTATATAAAAATATTTCACTGGTCTCCTCCCGGTCCTGGTACCGGCAGGTTCTGGTACCAGCACATAAAACACTTCATTTATTTTTCTAAAGGTTTCAGCACCATAATTCCTGAAGTGTTCATTTTACAGAGCAGCTAAAACATAAAGAGTGATAAACAAACCAAATGTAAAAACTAAAAGATCCGCAGAGTTTGAATCTAGACTTTAAAATCTGCAGGTAGAGAAAAGTTGAGTCCAATAAAGACCAAAAAAACACGAAGGACGTGTTTGGATGAACAAAGGTAAGCATTATACTACCTAAATATTACCTTAGTAGTATTACTTTTACATTACTGTTGTTAAACATATCAGAACTGGTATTTCCCCAAAGGAACTAGAAAACTGCAAACAGGAAGTGTTTTCTCTGCGGCTGTGAAAGGCATTAGTCAAAAGCTGAACAGAAACATTAATAAATGAATTTTTCCATTTTTACATTAAAATAAACTTTTATATTGATGAAAGGTTTTAGCTTACCCTACAAACAAAGCCTGTCTTGTTTTCATCTCTGACCTTTGACCTGAAGTCAGGCCGTTTTCTGTCAGTGCGTTGCTGCCCCCTGCTGGTGGCTCTGGGAAAGACAAGATTACAGATTTAAATCCACCAAACATTCAGTAAAAACGGCCCAGACAAAAGTATTTCCCTAAGTGAAAAGATTCATAAAGATTAATTAAACACCCTAATATATAATAAAATATATTTTCAAATGAGATAAAGCAGGTTCCTCTGGGTCTCAGGATGCATTTTATTCACATTTATTTTTGTTGTTGGGCAAATTTTTATTTATTTTGATGTACAAATATAAATGGTAATGAAAAACGCATGCAGACAGTTTAACTTTTTTTTACTTTTATGTCTTAAATAATACATTTCTTAAAATAGTTTTATAGGAATAATAAATACATTTAAATATACTTTTAAATATATGTGAATTAGAAATGATCCAAAGTGACCAGCAGATGTTTTTTTCCACATTTATCTTTTTTTTTTACTTTAAAGCACAAAATCAAAATTCTTATTTTATTTTCAAGGCCTGCTGCTTTGTTTAGTGTGTGTGTGTGTGTGTGTGTGTGTGTGTGTGTGTACTTCAAAACTCTTAGAAGAATTTAGGTTAAGTTCACACAAATTGAAGCTTTTCAACACTATTTATTAGAAATTTTTTTAAAACCCTCTGCTGGTCTCACTTTTGGCCATTTCTTTACGCCTATATAGAATGTTAGCGTGATCTCGAAGGTGTGGCGTGAGAGCCTGTGAAGAGGGTAAAGTGCAATTGTAAGTCGCTTTGGACAAAAGTGTCTGCTAAATACATAAACATAAACATAAAGTGCGTGTTTCTCACGCTCATTGCGTGAGAATTGGCAGCCCTGAGTCCATCTGAGGAAAATTCTAGCTCCGCACCTGGCAGTTTGAGCGCGAAAATTCACCGTTTTCGCTAGACAACTAGCTTTAGCCGTAGCACAATGGATTCTTACAAACATCTAACAACAACTCTGTTGCTTTACCTGTGACAGGTGAACGTAGACGGTCTCTTTCGGACCGTACCGCCACGTTCAGCTCCAAGCAACTCATTAAAAAAGGACCGTCTTCATTGTGTAGTTCTAAGCAGCTAAACTGTAACCGATGCTACTCTGACGCTAAATCCAACATGGCGGCGACGCTCGTGCGTTGACTGGTGTTTAGGTTAAAACTGTTTCCCACTCTGCTTCAAACTGTTCCATATTTTAGCACGGATGGATACAAATCTCGGTTTTTGAACTTGTGTCATGTGTTTGAGCTTATTTCTGAGGAAACTGGGTTTAATGCCTTAGCCTTTACCACTCACAGACTTCTGTGTGTTTTGCTAATTAGGTATTTATATCCACTTTCAGAATTAATTTACATTTAACCTGCTGACGTCAACAAGCAGTAGCCTATATATTTTTAAAAAGTTTAAATATTTCTGTCTTTTCTGCAGCTGTTTGTGGAGTATTTTGGTGATCGATGAATATTTTTGCAGATTTTTTTTATTTTTAAGTTTAATTTTTAATCTCCGTTAACGTGAATCATCTGTTAAATATTTGTCAAACTCAGATGTGAACTGGTTCTTGCGACTATAGTTTTATTTATTTTTTATCTACACAAACTCTTTTGACCAAAGAAAGACTCCAGGGAACTTTTGTTCACTCATGTTTTTATTCAACACAATGATCCAGATGACGAGACGACCATGGGGGTTTTACTGGTTTTACTGTGAATGGTTTTACATAAACCGGTTCAGGGTTGGGTCAGGGATAGACAGATGAAGATGGATCAGTCCAGATCAACACCAGCGTCTACATGCCGTCTCTGATCATGGAGACATACGGCTCAAACCAGTTCCTCATCTCTTCCATTTTCTTTCCCAGAGTGGAGCCAAGGTCCCCGGTCTTGCTCTCCAGGCGCCCCTTGATGTCCTCGGCGGCCGTCTGAATCTTGGTCTTCATGTCCTCTACGTGGGACTGGAGCAGGTCATTCAGGGTAGAGATCTTGGCCTGGGCGTTGTCCCGGACCTGAGAGAAGTACGGGTCCAGCTGAGTCCTCATGTCCTCCACGTTGTCTGAAGCTCTGGTCTGAAGCTCTGTGATGTAATCAGTAATGTGTCTGAAGGACGAAGCAAGTTGGAACATTTTAATTACTGATATTTTATGTAGTGAAGAATCCGTTATAAAAACAATGACTTTCAGGACACGATGAGAACTGAAACTGATTGGATGGCTTCCCTTTAGAGCGTCAGCTCACCTCTGGATCTCCTGGGTGTCCTTATGCAGCCGTTTCTTCAGCTTACGGGTGTAGGCGGAGACCCGGACCTTGACGTCTTCAGCATTCTGCTCCATCATGCTCTGCAGCTCAAGGACGTATTTGTCCATCTGCTCGCGGGCCTCGCTTACGTGAGTGTTTAGCTTGTCTCCCAGCAGCTGCAGGTCTTTCCTGACTCGCTCGGTGGCCTCCTGGGTGTACGGGGTCAGCTTGGTCTCCAGGTGGTCCTTGTACAACGCCAGCTCCGACAGGCTGTCCTGGACCAGGGTGCTGAAAGACAGGAACCTTTAGTGGCTGGTTCTCTGATGAAACCAGGACCAGAACATTTCTAATCAGCTGGGAAACCAACAAACAAGAGACAGGTCAAAGTTCAACGGTTCTGATCCCAGGTAAACAGGCCGGAGGCCTCTGGGGTCAAGTTTGAGCCTGGAGATTAAGATCGGCTCAGAGACGAGGCGTTTACACGTCGACATGTTCAAGGAAAGGTTAAAGGTCACAGCAGAGTGAAATTAAACGATCCAGATAGCTAATGGGGTGCACCAAATAAACAATTTATTACAAAAGTTCAAAAAGTAAAAATGTTTTTGTCCTTTGATGTAGAGAAAAATAATCTGATAATCCCGTCGGTTCTACCTTTTGTTCACTAGTCTTAGTTTTCCTAAACATGCTCATGTCTCTTGTTCCTTGTTGGTTTAGTTAACAGAACAAGGTTTTGACTGTCTCACAGACTAAATCTGAGATTATTCCCACTCAGATTATATTATCCTGTGAACTCACTCAAGCTCTCGGCTGATCTGGGAGCTGCGGATGTCCTTCACCACCTCGTCGGCCTTTGAGTTCAGATCAGTGATGTAATCCTGGAACTTCTCCATGGTGACCTCCCAGGTGGTCTGCCAGTCGTCCTGAAGAACGCTCCGGCCATGGCAGCCTGGTGGCGCACAAGCACAGTTCTTTAAAACACGGAGGAACATTCAAAAGGATCCGTTCTGGGATTTTCTTCAGTGGCTGTTTTTACTGTTGGGTCTGTGACTCGTGTCGAGTCATCAAGAAAACAAAGGATCAGAAATATCTCCCGTGCATCGCTACAACGGCTAGTTTCAGCCAAAGATTCTCAAAGTGAGAGCAAACTTAGCTATTCCTGAGATTTCCGATTTAAATCCATTTGCACCCCTCATTTCCAGATTTCCGTCCTCCGTTTATTCCTTCTGCAGCTCACCTGAAAGCACCGCCAGTGCAAGAATGACAGCAAACGCCTTCATGATGACACAAGGATGGACACCTGCAACCATCAAGCATGAAAACTGCTTAGGTGAATTTGACCTTTTAACACGAGAACTCCCCCTAACCCGAGACTCACCTCAGATGTCTGACTGGATGCGTGACGTCTGTGAGGCCGACTCAAGCCGCCGTTCCGTATTTATACAGATCAGCTGTAATCAATCCCACCCAATAAACCTCCAGAGGAATCGTGACCTGCGTCCGAAGTTCCGTCCCTGAGCTGCGTTGTTGTCATCTTTTATTGCTGTGTGTGTTGTTTTGGCTCCACGTAGCGCTCCGAAGGCTCGCGTCACAGGTCAGGATTTTAAAAACACGCTGCTGGGGTGGGTGGTGTCCTGGAGGGACACACGACTCCCTCCTTGTGTGTTAAACATGTGACAGAAGAGTCCAGGAAACTCAAGAGTTTTTAGCTGATATCCAGCACGGCACGGAGAAGGTCAAAGGTCACGTTTGTATCATGAAAGTCAACTGAACAAACGTGTATCCACGCAGATTTAATGAAACTGGTGTAAGACCAAAACGTGTTCCAGAAATCCCCGTTCACACAGATGACTGAAGAAGTCATCAGTATGCGTGGACATTTACACCATCATAAGGAAACTAAGCAGAAAATTCCTCGGAAAGCCTCGATGCCGCATGATCCACACATAAGCCAACAACCTCATGAAAAACTCCTAAACCAGCTCATGAAACCAACCTACGTAAATGGGCTGCGTGGTGGCACAGTTGTTAGCACAGCTGCCTTGTATCAAGAAGGTTGCAGGTTCGAAACTCGGCTGCAGCCTTTCTGCGTGGAGTTTCGTGTTCTCCTCATGCATGCGTGGGTTTCCTCCGGCTACTCCGGTTTCCCCCACAGATCACAGCGCGCCCGATAGGTTCACAACTGGATAAGAGCGTCAGATTAATAAACATAAAAGACCCGCACTTGTTAAGCACCTTTCAGGGTCTGAGGACTCTAAGGCGCTTTAGACTACAGTCAATCATTCACCCTTTCACACACACGTTCACACGCTGGTGGTGATGAGCTACGATGTAGCTACAGCTGTCCTGGGGCGCAGTCACAGAGGCAAGGCTGCCGAGCTCAGGTGCCACCGGTCCCTCCACCACCACCAGCAGGCAAGGTGGGTTAAGTGTCTTGCCCAAGGACACAACAACAGAATTCTCTGTCCAGAGCTGGGATCGAACCTGCAACCTTCCGATTACCTTGCTCAACCTCCTGAGCTACTGCTGCCCTCAACCATCTGGTTTCAACCTGATCTGAAATCGTTTCCACGTGATTACTGCGGCACACTCATGATTTTCATGCTTTTTGGTGTGTTCGTGTTTACATGTTTATTTTTGTTTGTTTGATTTGATTGTTTATTCTTTTTACTTTTTAGCATTTGTTAGCTCAGATGTCTTTTATTTGTTGTGTGCTTTTACTGCCAGCACGTTGGTCATGTGGCTAGCTCCACACGAACAATGCTTCTATGCATGCAGTGACCCTACCAGGGCAGACCAAGCTGACGTAGCGCAAACGGGCGTTTGAAACGGTTCCAGGTTCTGCTTATTGATCATGTTTGTTAGCTTCAAGACGCCCAAAATGCTACCTGTAACATTTCGTTTTTAGGTAAACATGAGCACTAACCAACACTAGCAATGTGGCAGTTAGCTTAGAAAAGTTAGCAGCTAAATGTCATTTGAGCTAACAGTTTGCTATGGTTAGCTAGGGTTGTTGTAGCGTTAGCTCAGTTTGCTGCCTGTGATCAAAGATCAAAGGAGTTATTTGTGTGAATGCAACCATTTTCAAAAACACAAAACCAGCGAATCTTCATTAAAAACGTTTTCTAAGAAAGGAGCTGAGAGTAAACACCACAAGAGGACTTTGGTTCAGTAATCTTGTATTTTGATCAAAGCAAATCAGACATTTCATTAGGACTTAAGGAAATCATGACATCCTTGTGCTATCGATTAAAGACTCAAGGCTGATGCTGCCTCTTCTCCTGGTGTAGCAGACCAGGTATGGAGCTCATTAACATCTTGATGCAGTAAAGGTAAAGCTTTAGTTGAGCCCTTAATAATTGTTGGCTGCCCAGGTTCTCCACATGTCCCTCAGCTGGTCATTCATTTCCTCTTCATTGTCACTCATCCTGACACTATGCTTCTTTCCACGTGGCGCCATCTTCCTGTTGATCTCATTGGTTGTGGTGTCCAGCTGGCCTTCAAAGTTGTTGACCATCAGAAGAATGATTCCCTGGAATTCTTCCATGTGCTCATCTATTTTATTCTTGTCACATGTATACTTGGGGTAATGGTGCTTGTGATGATGATAATGGTGGTCAGGTTGATGGTGCTCATAATTCTGCATGTATTCACAGCTTTCATACATCTCGCCGTGGAGCTCTTGGATCTGCCCCATTATGCATTCCTTCAGGCCTTTGGGGTCCAAGGACTCAATGTAGTAGGCAATGTACTTCTTCATGTCTTCCATCTTGCAACGCAGTTGAGCTGCCATCTCTGTACTGTGGAATAGGACACCACCTTCAAGATCCTCCATAAATTCCTCCATGTGATACTTCAGGTTGTCTATTTCATGACAGAATTTACGGTAGAAGTCGTTGGTCCAAAGAACCACTTGAGTATACACCGTGTTGAAGAACCCATAGATGGCTTCAATGCTCGTGGAGATGAGTTCACTGCAAAGACACCAACACAACACTGATTAAAGCATGCCCCCCTTCAGGTTTGGAGTGTTTTCTAAAGTAAATCTTTATCGGTTGACAGTTTTCATAGATATTTCACTGAAAGGGAACCAAAACCAACAAATACTCTATAAACACTCTTTCAGAGTTCCAGAGAAACACTTTGGCATGAAGGATTTCTCACCACAGATTCTTTCCTGGGGCGGACTTCCTGATGTGCCACACATACTCTTTGCTGGTCATGGTTGTCTTTCCCACATAGTCCCAGAAAGCATTTTGCACCATTTCCACTTGATGTTGATAGGGACTTGTTTTTTTTTGGTTGTAATCGTCCCAATGCCCATGATATCCATGATGTCCATGATGTCCATGATGTTTATGATGTCCATGATGCCCATGATGTCCATGATGTCCATGATGTTTATGATGTCCATGATGCCCATGATGTCCATGATGTTTATGATGTCCATGATGTTTATGATGTCCATGATGTTTATGATGCCCATGATATCCATGATGTCCATACTGCTGCTGCAGCTGCTGCGGCTGCTCCTGCTGCTGCTGCGGCTGCTCCTGCTGCTGCTGCAGCTGCAGGAGCTGCTGCTGCTGCTGCTGCTGCTGGTCATCATAACCAGCATTACAGGCTGCAAAAGTAAAACAAAGATTAAAGCTTTAGTTATTTGTTGCCTTAGACACTTGGAAGAAAGAAGTTCTCTGACCTGTGAAGAAGACCAGGAGTAGCACAACCAGGATCTTCATGTCTGACCTGAGAGGAAACACCTATTTAGCTCTTTGAGTTCAGCTGTGTGCTGAAGTGTGAGGAGCTGGAGGACTACCTGCTCAGTCAGCTGCTGAATGTCAAGCGTGCCCTCTGGAGTATTTATAGGCAGCTGCCTGGTAGAGCGAACGCCTTGTGGTTAGAGCATGACGCCAGGTCGGGACAGCCCATCAGACAGGATGGATGTTCTCATGAACGTCATGTTCAGATACAAGAAACCCTGATATTGTCTAAACGGGACATTATGATGAGATTGTTTTCTGTTTGTGTGACACTTGATAGATTAATCATCAAGGAAGGAAAGACTCAACATGTTTCATCTTCATGTTGAACTTTGATTTAATTCTGTTATGTTTGGGTCTCTCTTTAAATTTACCAAGTTACTTTAGAGGCCCGGCCTGGAATCCTTGATCTGGTCTAGAGCCCCTGATCTGGTTTAGGACTCCTGGTCCGGTCTAGGACTCCTGGTCCGGTCTAGAATCCCTGATCTGGTCAAGGACTCCTGGTCCAGTCTAGGACTCCTGGTCCGGTCTAGAATCCCTGATCTGGTCTAGGACTCCTGGTCCAGTCTTGAATCTCTGAGCTCCCTGATGTTTTTGGTTCTGAAATAGCTAGAACGAAATCGCGTCCAATAAAAATTCAGTTGTCAGAAGGTTATGAAGGTAAATAATACAAAGGTACTAAAAATGTACTGAAATGCTGTTTAACTTCTTCAATTTTCTGTAGTTGAGCTCAGAGCTACGGGTTAAAGAGCTAAAATATTTAACTATTGCTCTGGATTTTTCCCAATAAAATGTTAGATTTGTTCAACAGAAAACAACAATAAACACATAAAAACTGTTTTCACATAAACATTTAATGAACTGATTTTGTTGTTCATTTTTTGTCAGAAATTCAAACAAAGATCATATTTAATTTTCCATTGGTGGTCCAGCAGTCTGGGCAGTTTTATAACGATGAATAAATCAGTGTTGCTGGTGTTCATTTTTATTTTGTTCTGCTTGTGATTTCTTTTGTTATAGAAATGAGTGAAACTCAGCTGATGGAGTTAAAGAATAAAGAAACAAACCAGTAAAATGACAGAAATCATCAGCAGATTTACTCGTTCTGGTTGAGAAAACCTGACTCCGTTTTTATCTGAATATCAGCGTGTATAAAAACAAATGTAACGCGTAATGATCTTTGTATCATTCTGCTTCAGTGTCTGAATGTTCCTGACAAACTCTGAGTTTTTATGGGTCAGCTAGATGTGAGAGAGACTTTGGTCCGGTTCTGCCATCTGACTCAATAATTATCTGTACTGGAGAACTCAGAGTGTCCTTAAACAGCCCACAGCCCGATAAGAAGGCTGAGCTGAGGCCGTCCTGCGGAGAAAAGCTGCTGATAAACATGATTTTATTAAACGCAGACAAAAGCCTTGAAGGGAAACTCCAACCTGGAGTCACACACGATCACATTTAAAGTAAAACCATCACACTTTATTTTTAACACCAAAACATTTAAGTATATGTTAAAAGTTTAAGAACAATGACATTTTCCTCAGTTTTAAACGGATTCATCACACTATTACCCATTCCTTCAGATTTTTGCTATATAATTAAAATTATGACCAAAAAAATGTAAAATTTGACTCAAAACTGCCAAAACAAGACTGAAACATTCATTTATTCATCTGAAAAGTTTTAAACATTTACAAAATATTTTTTATTTTAGTCTCATAAACTCTTAGCGTGAGCTACCTGTGTTTAGCCTAGCTGTTAGCTTCAAGACACAAAAGGAGTCCAGTTTCCTTCATTCGAACACATTTGGATTTCCACGACCTGACTGAGAACTCACCAACATAGCTGTTAGCTTACCGTTCTATCACAACAAGACAGAAATCAGCATGTGACATATTCAGTCATTTTAGTTTTTACATAAACTGTTCAGAGTGAGAGATTGTTGTCTTCTTTGACTTTTTAACCAGATTAGCAAGCTAACGTTGGTTACCCACAGCTAACGGTTTCCCTCCAATTAGCAGTGAATGCTATTGAAATACGGTTTGCGCACGATAGCACATTTGCCAAACAGCAACAAGGGCTTTAAAGAGCGAGTCACTCCACAATCAACTCTTTATGCTAATAAACTGTAAAAATGAGGGTCAAATAGTGTTTTAGACACGTGTGTATTTTATTTAAAAACTAAAAATTCAGCATAAAAACATCAGTCTAGCGCCTTCTTCAGTTCAACACTTAGCAGCAGATTGATTCTGAATCCCCATAAGCCAATGGCTAAAGCTTACACTGCTACGTAGCCTGTGCTGTGCTTTGTATCCGTACATAGCCTGTGCTGTACTACGTAGCCTGTGCTGTACTACGTAGCCGTACATAGCCTGTGCTGTACTACGTAGCCTGTGCTGTACTACGTAGCCGTACATAGCCTGTGCTGTACTACGTAGCCTGTGCTGTGCTACGTAGCCGTACATAGCCTGTGCTGTGCTACGTAGCCGTACATAGCCTGTGCTGTACTACGTAGCCTGTGCTGTACTACGTAGCCGTACATAGCCTGTGCTGTACTACGTAGCCTGTGCTGTACTACGTAGCCGTACATAGCCTGTGCTGTACTACGTAGCCTGTGCTGTACTACGTAGCAGCGCTGTGGCTGTAGGTCATAAAAGCATTGTGGTCGAGCCTTGTGGCGAGTTAGGAGTTCGATTTGCAAGTGAGTGTGTACGACAGTTAGCAGGTTAGCAATAGTTCAACATTAGCGTTGTCATAATCTTTAGCATAGCTTTCTCGTTATAGATACATATTCAGTGTTAGCTTGGCTGTTACACATTGTAGTTTCGTGTTCTATATCGTGAGCAAGTTGAGTTTATTGAAGGCTACTACTGTGTTAGGATGGGGAGATGGTGTTGTGTAGCGGGTTGTGGTAGCTCTGTGGGTTTGAACGTTTCTACTAGACTTGGAAATTGGGCGCTAGTGGTTGCACTCAGCTGGTGTAGCAGAGAACAGCGAGCTCCCACCTGATGCTCGAGTTTGCAACAAGCATTTTACCACTATTCCCCCACTAAGCAGATGGAGTTTGAACTGGGTTATCTGCAGATCTCCGTTTGAAGAGAGGTCGCCCCAACCAACCACTGGACGCAGCCCACCCACTCTGCAGCCCCGCCATGATGGAGACGTCCAGAGAAGAATAGAAAAAGGGTGAATTTGATTTGCACGAAAAAGCAGGTTGGCTAATGGGGCAGATGTTGTGTTGTCACTGAACCCCGAGCTGCTCTGGTAAAAAGGACAAAATATCACAAACTAAATCAAGTTTAAAAGTTTTCTTAGTTGAGTAATAAAATAATTGTTGGGAGATAATAAAATAAAGCAGTGAACCCATAAAATGATAAATATAAAGCTTAAGCTTTTAAAGGACATGAAGAACACCTGGATGTTCTACCTGTTCCAGATTATAATCTGATTTTGGAGGACGTGTGTCTCACTCATGGCAGGGTGGGGGAGGGGGTAAAGTCCAGGTGTAGTCAGACGTTGGACAGGTGTGTTTGTGTCCATCAGAGTTAATCTGACAGATTTATCCTGTAATTTGACTCCATCACAGCAGCAGTTAAACATTCTAGTGTGTGCAAGTGAGGTAAACAGTAAATCCGTGTAAAAATAACATATTAAGGATTTATGTTGATGTTTCACTAAAACATCCCCATATTTGGTAGATTATTTTTATTTAGTAGTTTTTATTGCAGTTTTATTAAATGTTTAATTTAAAAAAGACTCAAATGAAGGCTTTAAAACTCCTCGACTGTTGTTTTATTTTCTGCTGCGAGTCGGGTCAGAACCGTCCGGAACAAACTGCTGCACGTGAGCCGTTTAAGTGCTTTAAAACGTCCCCGTCTCGGTTCAGTACATGAGACACCTGAGTGATGTGGAGCGACAGCGGTGACGGGACCGGGTCCAGCAGGGCAGCTCCAGCAGGACTTTAACCTCCAACCGGACTATAAAACCCGGGAACGCCGGCCTGAGCAGCACCGAGTCATCCGGCGCTGACGGAGAACAAGCTGCCTGTGAAAGGTAGGAACTTCCTCAGAGCTTTCTGTAACTGATCCGAGTTACTAACCAACCCGTTTCACCCATCAGAACCAGTCCAGAGTCCCGTCATGAAGGTCCTCGTGGTTCTCGCTCTTTTCTCAGGTGAGTTCACCTCCTGTTTGAACTGATGTTAGCTGAAACCAGGTGACCAGGTGATGTTGACCTGCTGCTTCTTCCTCAGTTTGCCGGGCCAACATCCTGTGGGCCGACCCGCCCAAACCCAACATGGAGGTGGTGAGGGAGGCCTTCTGGGACTATGTTGCCAGGGCAACGCAGACCGCTGAGGACTCCCTGAAGCAGATCCAGGCATCTGAGCTGGGACAGGAAGTGAAGTAAGAGTCCAGTTTGATTACAGGTCGGAACCAGAACCCCTGATCCAGTCCAGAACCCAGTTTCTTTTCACTTTTCTAGTTTCTGCTCCCCAGGAGGTCTAAAGGACCTTTTCTTTGGACTTCGATGACACCAGAACATTTTCAGAATATGTGTGTCTCTGAACCACTCAGGCAGAAAGAGGATGAGCCTGAGTTGGGTCAAGCCACCAGAACCAGAACTGAACTAGCAGCAGACTGATCTGCTAGTTTCTTTTTAAAAACTGACAGGAATCAGAAGTTCTGGGAATCTTAAAGATGTTAAAGTGGATCAGGACCGGGTCAGAACCATGATGAAACTGTTTCTATTTTTCAGCACCAGGATTGCTCAGAACACCGACTGGGTGAACCAGTACATCGCCTCTCTGCAGACCCAGGTGGCCCCTCTGACCCAGGACTTCATGACCCGCTTTACCCAGGAGGCCGAGCGGCTGAAGGCCCGACTAGAGAACGACCTGACGGGTGTAGGCGACAACGTGAAGCCCTACGCCGAGCAGATGGTGCTGAAGCTCCAGAACCAGGTGGAGGAGCTGAAGAAGGAGATCGCTCCCTACGCCGAGTCCGTGGACCCAGAGGCCCTGTCGGCCGCCCTGCTGCAGAAGAGCCAGGCTCTGAAGGGGCAGCTGGAGACCAGCGCCACCCAGCTGCAGGCCCAGGTGGTCCCCTACACCGAGGACATGAGGCAGAAGATGGAGCAGAGCCTGGAGGACTTCCAGAGCAGTGTGCTTCCTCTGGCCCAGAGCTTCGAGTCCCAGCTGACCCAAAAGAGCCAGGAGATCCAGCAGAAGCTGGTTCCGTATGGAGAGGAGCTGAAGGCCAAGCTGGACTCCAGTGCTCAGGACCTGCAGGCTCAGCTGACGGCTCTGTGGGAGTCCTTCACCCAGAAGACCCAGTAAACAGACTCACATCTGATATGTTTATGTGAAAACCCGGTTCTGGAACATCTCACTGATCCAATAAAAGCTGCTGGTTTTTCACACAGAACCGACCCACGAGTTTTTATCCAAGTCCACAAAAACTTGAAGAGCAAGTCACCCCCTAACAGATTCTTACTCTGCTCCCACTTCCTGTTTGAAAAATGCAACAAATGCTGTTGCCTAGCAGACCGAGAGGGCGGAGCCGCTAACAAATACACACACAGGCTCACAACGGCGTTGTGACATCATATGGTACCAGCTAAGGTCATAGGGCACCTCTTAGCCAATAGTGATGGCAGATTTAAATGAAATGCAGAGCAGAGTTTACCTGAAGAGGGCGCAACACTGACAGTTTATCCACCACGTGTGTGTACCGCCCGGCGAGACACTCGCTACGTAGTTTATCAGCAAAAAGGTTGACTTGGGGGTGACTTGCTCTAATTTCCCTCAGGGACTAATAAAGTATCTTTGAATTTGAAATAACTTCAGATTTCCTCCTGAAGAAGCGGGTCTCCGGCTGGTTCCGACCCGCGGAACAAAACCAAACTTATACTTAAAAACAAAAAAACTAAGTTTTGGAAAAGTAAAAAACAGGATAAACGTTTAAAAATCACCTTCATGAAGTTTTACTTAAACTGAGAGGCAGACTCTGGTGATGACTTTATAACAACAATAATAAAACGTTTATTAATACCTGTAATAGTAACAGTAACAACTATAGTTTTTTTCCCATTTATTTCATTCAAAATAAAAACAAATAACATATAAACAATAAGAAACACATAACAAAAAATCTAATTTGAACGAAAAGGAGCAGAATGCAGAATAACATCTTATATAACTATAGTTAATAGTATAATAATTATTAACTATAGTTAATAGTATAATAATTATTAACTATAGTTAATAGTATAATAATTATTAACTCTAGTTAATAGTATAATAATTATTAACTATAGTTAATCGTATAATAATTATTAACTATAGTTAATAGTATAATAATTATTAACTCTAGTTAATAGTATAATAATTATTAACTATAGTTAATAGTATAATAATTATTAACTATAGTTAATAGTATAATAATTATTAACTCTAGTTAATAGTATAATAATTATTAACTATAGTTAATAGTATAATAATTATTAACTCTAGTTAATAGTATAATAATTATTAACTCTAGTTAATAGTATAATAATTATTAACTCTAGTTAATAGTATAATAATTATTAACTCTAGTTAACCGTATAATAATTATTAACTATAGTTAATCGTATAATAATTATTAACTATAGTTAACACGGACACAAATATGAAAAAATTAAAGTGAAAACAGGAACGAAACTTTGAACGGAATTCCGGCGGTCGTTAAAGTCCTTATCTGCGTCACAGATGCAGATCGCCGGAGGAAACGAAACCTCTGGGACAGGTCAGTATCGTAGACAGACAGCTCTGAGCGCGTTCACCAGCCAACGGGCATCAACCTGCACGAAAATCACAACGTAAAGGAATAATAATAAGTTTATTTACAACTAAGCATCAGTGCCTCTTGGGTCGAGGCGCCGGAGCGTTCACCGGTGCCAGACTCGGACTATGGATTAAATCCATGATGATAAACGACGGCCGGTTCTGCTCACCGGATGATCTGGGCGTTCCGGCTGCCACTGTGGTCCATGTCTCCCAGCACGACGGGAAAGACCTGCAGAAGAAGAACGACTCGTCCATTCGTTCATCTTACAGCCCAGAACGGAACCGGAGGTTCTACGTCGGCGTACCTCAGCTGGACCGGTCTGCATCGACCCGATGAAGGCGGCTCCACACCTGTAGCTGGAGTCTCCGGAGGAGCTCAGCAGAACGGAGTGATTCACCTGGAAAGACGGAACAAGCAGAGGAACCGGTTCTGATCCGTTTAGGTTAAGAGGGACAGATGTGACCTGGAAGTGGTTGCTGAGGCCCTTATTGACGATGAGTCGGACCCCTCCATCTGCAGCGGGAACACCGCTGAGGACAAAAATATAAAAGGAGCAGAATGAAGAATGGTTTTAAACCCTAACCATAGACCCGTGTTTGGTTCTGCTCACGGGGACAGAACCGCCTCTGGTATCGGTTCTGGTCCACCTGGCTCAGCAGTCAGCCGAAAGAAAGTCGCAGAAGCTTCAAAGTTCACTCCATCCCGTCTCCTGGACTCTTCTGGACCGGTTCTGGTGTCATTAGCAGCAGAACATTTAGGCCTCGGAGGCTGTGAGGCGAAGTCTCCATGGATCAGAACAGAAAATTCCCTGGATCACATACTGGAATTACTTCTGTAGGTTCGGAGCTAAACTGGTTCTTGAATTCTTCATAAAGGTTCTACGGGTCAAAGAGAGCGGACCTCCTCCTTGGTCTGGTTCTGATGAGTCTTCTGTAGAACCTCTGGGAGGTGAACCCGGGTCAGCACCAACACCCCAACCTGCCCGCTGAAGCCTTCCACATCAGAACCCCTGCTCCCGTTTCTTGGTCCACATCTGGTAGGTCCCTGGCTGCAGACCAGAACCATCTCACAGAGCTGACCCAGATGTCTGGTTCTGGTTGAGCTGATAAGCCCCATCCACTTCAGTAATCACGCTGTGTTTTAATAAGTTCCGGTTCCGGACCACAGGAGAGGACAGGTGGGACGCTCAGGTGCAGCGGCTGCAGGTTAAAACGAGCGGAACCGCAGGTTCGGCCCGAGTCCAAACGACTCGGCCGCTTTCACCAGAACACTTGAAAAGATCTCAAAACACAAGCGAGCGTCACTCACGTCGTGGGTTCCGGGAGCAGCCGGAAGTGCGGTGCCGAGAAGAGGAAGTTACGTTGACCCAGTTTGGTCACATCGCATTATGACTGGTGCACGTAGCTGTCACTCAAAGACGCGCCAATCATCTTCGCAGATAAAATGTACGTCATCAAAGGCAATTGCTTAACTAGGGAGTTGACTCCTCCAATGAGAAGGAGCTTAGAAACACAGGGCTTCTGATTGGAGGAGACTTAAGGCGGGCCGGCTGGTGGGCGGGTCTAGCTTGGTGGCTAGGAAAAAGCTTCAAGGTCGATAAACGGATCAAACTTTAGGATCTGGAGACTCAAAACATTCAAAGTCATTCCGGTTCAGATCCACTAAAAACACGGAGTTCTCCAGAGGGACCAGAAGAACAACTTCCGTTAATAAAACCAACCTTCAGTAGTTTTCCAGTGGCGGCTGGTGAAAAATATTTTTAGTGGGGCTGTGCTATTTTTTTTGTTTAAACAAACTTGTGCTTTCTGAGCTTTGTGCACAACTTCACTATTTCCTGAATTAAGCACAGCTCTTTTATTTCCTGTCTTACATCACTGGACAAACGGATTAATCCAGGTGTGTCTGACTATTGGCACGCTGCCTTGCGGACCAAGGTTGAAAAATACCGCATTAAATTGCACATAAAATAACACGACCATATATGGTAAATAGGCAATGCAAGAGGCAAGTAACAAAACATTTTGTTTAATTTCAACATTTGAGTGAACACGAAAAATTATGAGCAGGTCACTGTTACAGTAATGGTAGTAAACACCACTTAGACAAAATGCCAGAAATGTACACTGTTAGGACTTATGGAAAGTGGAAACACTTTCATAGGAAATAATGTCATCAGTATCCTCTTACAAATGTCATATTTCCCACTTTTTGGGACAAATCAGAAATGTTTTATTGTCCCAAAAGCTGGGAAATGTGTTTGCTGCAGCAGAAGTGTAACAAGTAAAATGGAATCAGATTGATGTATGTACACATTTACTTGAAATACACATTTACATGATTAAATATGTATAATAGGTATGTGTGTTGAAATGAGTTTTTACAGTTATTGCACATTAAACATGTTATTAAACAAATATCCCGGTTTGTGGGACAACCAAGGATTTCTGATTCTGATTGTCTTGTTTACAGAAATGTAATGTACAGCTTACCTCTGCACCCAGCTGCTGTTCTCCCTGTCCAAACGTCCTCCGTTTCTTTGTTGGCTGCTGCACTGATGCGCTGCATTCCTCAGTCAGAGAAGGAATGGAGTCCCCAATGAGACACAAGTTCCACATCCACCTTCTGTGGATCCCAGCCGATTTGAATAACAAACACGGAAAGCAAAATAACGCATTAGCGTGATTGCATCCAGCTAGCCACTGCTTCCTGGTGTACCAATTTTGGGAGAAGCGTCGTGTTTACCTCTCTCCTTGTCCTGCTGGCTTATCTTTACGTCGGGCTGATCTGGTCCAAGCTCTTTGACATTAAGTTTTTCCACCATAGTTCTCCTCTCGAACGGATACTGGAGAAGAGACCGAACTGAATTCAGTGGCTGCTGAGATCCGGTGTCCATGTTGTAGGCGCACTGGCGTCCATGTCTGCGTCTGCTCCATGTGCGTCACGAGTCACGACCAAAAACCTGCTGGAGTCGAGACTCTCCGAGTTCTACCGAACACCAACGAAAGCCTTGGCGGTAGCTCTATCGCCCATCATGCTTCTGAAACAACGTCGACGCTGATTGGATACATTCCCATTCCTACCCTTTGATTTTCTTGTCAGCAATTGGACAACCGGTCTCGTCCTGTTTGGGCGATTGAAAACAGCACACAGCCTCCACCGCTCGGCAGAGACCAATATATATATATACGATTTATTTTTGTTACAAAACACACAATTAACTTAGAATATGTGATTATTGTTAATTTTATTTATTTATTTTTAAATAAAAATTAAAAACAGTGGGGAAACTGGGAGGGCGGCGCCCTATCGCCCTCTACTGGCCAGCCGCCGCTGAGTTTTACGGTCTCGAGTCTTAACCGTCAAAAATATCCTGATGACTTCTGAGCAGCAGAATGTGGCACAAAAACACAAAAAGCACTAAAGAAACGGTTCAGGCAGATTATTCAATAAGAGCACTTTTACTCAAGTAGGCCTAGAAGTAATCAAGTAAATACCAAAGAACAAATAAACATCTCGTAGGCTACTTTAGTATTAGTAACTTGATTTGTTGAATTAATATGAAACATGAAGTCCTGCTGATTAACACACACACACACACACACACACACACACACACCAGAATAAATGAGGAAAAACAAGTGAAGTTCAGGTCATTTTATTGAATTTTAAAGCCTCTGCATGTTTCCACTCTGACAGCAGAGGTCAACACAAATTTGGTTCCGAATCCGTTCAGTAGGTCAAGAAAAACTTAAGGAATTTACTTTGTGATTCATCCAATCAGACGGGAGCTTCACGGATCAGAATGACTGCTGGGGTCATTCAGAAGGAAAAGAAAAACTTCCTGAGTGTAACGTTCAAAATGGAGAAAATCAAATCCTAGAACCAAAGCGAGCCACTGAGGTCGGAAGGAAAACAGAAGCTAGAGCAGAGTTTCTCTGTTGGCAGATGAAGAAACGTTTTTGCTCGTAGAGAAAACTTCAGAGCCTCTGAAGCTCCAACTTCTGACTTTAACTCATGAACCAGTCAGAAACCTGCTGAGGACTTTAAAACCACATCTGATTCATCATCACATCAGGATGTTTCTCCTGTCGTCTATACGGACCCGAACCCTCACCCAATGTTAACCCCACCCCACCCCACCCCCAGCACTCCGCGCGCACACACACACACACACACACACACACCGCCTCAACACAAGGCGCTCATCGATCATCAGAACTTCCTCAGAGTTTTACTGATATACACCGACTCCATGTTTGGAGTTTTTCAGATGACCTCCCGGTCATCATTAAACACACACACACAGGTGACGGACGACCGATCAGGAATGTGATCAAGTCCAGGTTTCAGCTGGAAGCAGATAACAGACCACGTCCCTGAGGAACGCCGACGTTGGAGACGGAACACAAAACACACACATTCCTTCAAACACACACACACACACTCATTCAAACACACACACACACACTCATTCAAACACACACACTCATTCAAACACACACACACACACTCATTCAAACACACACACACACACACTCATTCAAACACACACACACACACACTCATTCAAACACACACACTCATTCAAACACATACACACACACACACTCATTCAAACACACACACTCATTCAAACACACACACTCATTCAAACACACACACACACACACACACTCATTCAAACACACACACTCATTCAAACACACACACTCATTCAAACACACACACACACACACACACTCATTCAAACACACACACACACACACACTCATTCAAACACACACACACACACACACTCATTCAAACACACACACACACACACACTCATTCAAACACACACACACACACACACTCATTCAAACACACACACACACACACACTCATTCAAACACACACACACACACTCATTCAAACACACACACACACACTCATTCAAACACACACACACACACTCATTCAAACACACACACACACTCTCATTCAAACACAAACAAACAAACACACACACACACACTCATTCAAACACAAACACACACACACACACACTCATTCAAACACACACACACACACACACACTCAAACACACACACACACACACAATCAAACACACACACACACTCAAACACAAACAAACAAACAAACAAACACACACACACACACACACTCATTCAAACACAAACAAACAAACAAACACACACACACACGCATTCAAACACACACACACACACATTCAAACACACACACCACTTTTTTTTGGTTTGCTTCAATCCTGAAATGCCATTCCCAAAACAAGGAAACTAAACATTCCTCCTCCGCCTTTGAAGCAAAAGCTTTTGCGTACGTAGGAATTGTAAACAAGAGTAAACAACGAATCATTTACAATCTTGCTGCGGCCTCAGAATGATTCGTAACACCTCGTATAAAGATTGCCCTGTTGGAAAAAACCGGAGCTGCTGGGAACCACCGGAGATTCCCACCAGCTCTGTCCAGTTCAGCCCTCTGACACCTAAAACACAACCAGGTTTGTTTGTTTGTTTGTGTGTGAAAACAACTTTAAACCCAAGTGTTGCTGCTGGCTTCAGGTACCAGAGAGGCGTAGAACACCTCCAGACTCCCGGAGCCGAAAGCCTCGAGCGTTAAAGCTTAAAAAGCTAAAGTTTTGTGTTTTTGTCGTTCGTGGCGCTCCGTAAGGAGGACACGAACGTCCCAGCTGCCTGTTTAAAGATGCTACAAGCCCCGCCCCTCACACAACCACCACTAACGTATTGCTGCTGCGGACAGAACCGTCTCCGCCGGTCCGATAACAGAGCCGCTTCCCGTCCCGTTTACACCTCAGAGAAGAAGAAAACACGACCCAGACGCGTTTGTGACGAGCTCCTGCTCCCGGAGGAGTCCGTCCTCCGGGAGCAGGAGCTCCAAACCAAAGAAGCTAAAGGAACCGAACCCTGGCAGCAGACACATTCACCCCCGGAACACGTCCAGGCCCAGAACCAAGGTTCTGCTCCAGAAGATGAGGAAGGAACAGAACCACCGAACGCCCAAAGTGTTGTTTTGCACCAACTCACCGACGCGAGCATCACCATGGTTACTGGCCGGGTTTGGTTTCACCCGCCAGCTGCTTCGGCCAATAGAATCACAGTTTTCACCAGCAGAGACGACCCACCTGACCCGACCCGGACCCATGCAGCGCTCCGGGTCTTTATTCTGATTCTGATTCGGGGGGGGGGGGGGGGGGGGGGGGGAAGGAGTCATGCAGGGTAGAAGTCAAGCGGCCCTTTTTATTGCAACGCTTCACATTCAAGATGGCTGCAGAACGCATCTCAGCAGAGAACCGGCGCGTTTGGTACTGCTGCACAACGGCGGTCCAAATAAGCCCGGTTCTGGTCTGGTCTGTGCTCGTTCTCTGCTGCTGCGGGACAACGATGGGCGAGTGCACGGGGAAGGGGGGGGATTAAGGCACTTAAGTGACAGCAGTGAGAGAGTAGAGTCAGGCTGGTGGAGGTGCACCGCGGTAACATCAGAACCGGACCTGCAGCCGGAGGTCAGACCCGGTTCTGAGAGTCGTTAGTGAGTCAAGTCCGGTTTGAGTTTGGTGCAAAACAACAGTTTACAAAAACAAACAAACAGGAAAGGTTCTGAAACTAAAATCAGCCTTTAAGTCCGTTCAGCCGGTTCTGCAGAACCGAGGTGGAACCGGTGGGATGCTTGGAGAGAGAGAGAGAGAGCTGATGGTTGTGCAAAAGCCCGGAGTGTCCCGATGTTCTGAAGGCAAGAAGAAAAGTGGGATTAGGACAGAACAATCCCTCCTGAATCAAACAAGGACTTCTGCAGAACCGGTTTAAACCAGCATCTCACTGGGCTGTTGGAGACAGAACCGAACCGGTACCGGGACCGAGGATTAAACATTTAGTCACAATCCTGAAGCGGTCCCAGACTCACAGAGAGACGGGTTCTGGTGGGTTCGGAACTCCAGAGGGAACGAACGTCTCCGTTAGTCTCCAACAGTGGGAACCCGCTGAGATTCTGGTTCTGGAGGTTCTGGATCGTTCACCTGTTCTAGGTGCTGTCCTGTTGGCGTTCTGGCTTCTCCTCCACCTCCTCCACCTCACAGTCGCCGCTGGCGGAGTGGTACTCGGCCACGTAGAGGCTCTTGTCGATGCTGCTGGGGATGGGCTTGATGTCGGTGACCAGCTGCTCCTCGATGGCCTTCAGGTTGAAGCGGTCCTCAGAGGTGATCAGGTTGATGGCCAGACCCAGGTGACCAAACCTCCCTGGAGAACAAAATCATGCTTTACATCTCAGGAACAGCTCTCCTGCTGCTGCTCACGCAGGTTCTGGTCCAAAAACTCCAACCGGACCTTCTGGAGAACCACTTTCAACAAGAGACCAGGTCCAGATCGGGGTACCGGCCCGGATCCAGGGAGAACGGGAATGAAACCCACCTGATCTTCCGATGCGATGGAGGTACGTCTCTGCGTTTTTAGGGAAGTCGAAGTTGATGACCACGTTGACGGCCTGGATGTCGATGCCCCTGGTGAAGAGATCTGATGGAGGAGGACAGATTCGGGTCTCTGGTGGGCGTCTCACACTCAGACAGGACGAGCGTCTGACGCTAAAACTCACCAGTGCAGACGAGGTTCCTGCAGAGCCCGTTTCGGAAGTCGTGAAAGACCCGGTTCCGGTATTCCTGCACACAAACACACCGGGATTAAAGCTGGCCCCGGTCAGACGGAACCGGAACGTCTGAAACGGGCCGCCCACCTGCATCATCTTAGCGTGGATGTAGAAGCAGGAGTAGCCCAGCTGGGTGATCTTCTTGGCCAGAAGCTCCACCCTCTGGGTGGAGTTACAGAAGATGATGGACTGGTTGATCTGAAGCTGCCAGACAGAAAAATGAGCCATGACTGAAGGTTTCTCAGACTGCGGCACCTCCTCCTGCCGAGGAGGTGCTGCAGAAGCGGTGAGATGAGGCCGGAGGCTCGCCGTTACCCTGGAGAAGAGCGTGTTGAGGCAGTGGACCTTCTGCCGTTCGGTGACGTAGGCGTAGAACTGGGTGATGCCCTTCAGCGTCAGCTCCTCCATCAGGTTGATCTCATACGGTTTCTGGAGGTGCTTCACCTGCAGACGAGAAACCAGAGATGGAACGTCGGACTGGGAGGAGACCGTTCTGAGGGAGAACCGGATTTGTAATCAGATTACTCACCATGAACTTCTGAACGCTGATGGGGAAAGTGGCCGAGTAGAGCAGGATCTGCCTGTTCTTAGCCAGGAAGCTGATGATGTCCTCGATGAGCACCACGAAGTCCTGAGACAGCAGCTTATCCGCCTGAGACCAGAACCAGAACCGTTCAGCGGGTCACTTCCCATCACACACACACACCTGATTCTCTTACCTCGTCCATCACCATCATCTGGACCCTGTCCACCTTAGCCACGCCCTTCTTTATCAGGTCCAGGATCCTACCAGGTGTAGCGATGACCACGTGCACTGGAAACACACAGGGCTTAGCTGGGAGTGTGTGTGTGCATGCGCATATGTGTGTCTGTGTGTGTGTGCGTGTATGTGCATGTGTGTGTGTATGAGCGTGTGTGCGCATGTGTGTGTGTGTGTGTGTGTGTGTGTGTGCATATGTGTGTATGTGCATATGTGTGTCTGTTTGCATGTGTGTGTGTATGAGCGTGTGTGCGCATGTGTGTGTGTGTGTGTGTCTGTGTGTATGTGTGTGTATGTGCATATGTGTGTATGTGCATATGTGTGTCTGTTTGCATGTGTGTGTGTATGAGCGTGTGTGCGCATGTGTGTGTGTGTGTGCATATGTGTGTATGTGTGTGTGTGTGTGCATATGTGTGTCTGTGTGTATGTGCATGTGTGTGTGTATGAGCGTGTGTGCGCATGTGTGTGTTTGTGTGTGTGTGCATATGTGTGTCTGTGTGTATGTGTGTGTGCATATGTGTGTCTGTGTGTATGTGTGTGTGCATATGTGTGTCTGTGTGTATGTGTGTGTGCATATGTGTGTCTGTGTGTATGTGCATGTGTGTGTGTATGAGCGTGTGTGCGCATGTGTGTGTGTGTGTGTGCATATGTGTGTCTGTGTGTGTGTGTGTGTGCATATGTGTGTCTGTGTGTATGTGCATGTGTGTGTGTGTGTGTGCATATGTGTGTCTGTGTGTATGTGCATGTGTGTATGTGTGCATATGTGTGTCTGTGTGTATGTGCATGTGTGTGTGTGTGCGTGTATGTGTGTGCATATGTGTGTGTGTATGTGCGCGCGTGTGCGTGCATATGTGTGCGTGTGTGTGTGCGTGCGTGCGTGCATGCATATGTGTGTGTGTGCATGCATATGTGTGTGTGCGTATGTGTGCGTGTGCGTGCGTGCATGCATGCATATGTGTGTGTGCGTATGTGTGCGTGTGCGTGCGTGCATGCATGCATATGTGTGTGTGTGCATGCATATGTGTGTGTGTGTGTGTGTGTGTGTGTGTGCATGCATATGTGTGTGTGTGTGTGTGTGTGCGTGCGTGCATGCATGCATATGTGTGTGTGTGCATGCATATGTGTGTGTGTGCATGCATATGTGTGTGTGCGTATGTGTGCGTGTGCGTGCGTGCATGCATGTGTGTGTGCGTGCATGCATATGTGTGTGTGTGCATGCATATGTGTGTGTGCGTATGTGTGCGTGCGTGCATGCATATGTGTGTGTGTGTGTGTGTGTGTACCAGTCTCATCCAGGCGCATGATGTCATCCCTGAGGTTGGTGCCCCCAGTGGTCGCCATGACTTTGACTCCTCCCAGGTGTTTGCTGAGCTGGATGCTGATCTGACTCATCTGCAGCGCCAGCTCGCGTGTGGGTACCATGACGATGGCTGTAACGGGACAAATGCTGGTGAGACACATAAGGGGGGAGGCGGGGCAATAAAAAAAAGGGGTGGGTGGGGGTGCCTTACCCTGTATGTGGTCCTTCTTCAGGTCTATCCTCTCCAGCAGGGGGATCAGGTAAGCTCCACTCTTCCCCGTCCCGTTCTTCGCTCGAGCCAGGATGTCCCGTCCCGACAGTGCGATGGGAATGCTCTCCTCCTGTGCAGGAACCCACACTGTGACCCGACCGCCATTAAACGCCAACATGGCTGCACTCAGGTAGAAGGTAACTTCCTGGTTAGGAGCTCTAGCTGAGGGAAACGACAGCTGTGTGTGGAGACGGGAGAAAGGGCGTCTCAGCTGGGATTAGGACTGGGAGCTAAACCGGATTAGTCGTTGCTTACAGCTGTGGACGATAATTTGTTATAAGGTGTACTTCCACTTAGCGTCTGTAGGGACCCCTGCTGGTGAGGAGAGGTATTGTACAACAGTGTAAACCTACGTCAGGTCTCAGAATAATAATCTGATTACATTTTGAATCTTTAATGGCAGCAAAACGGGCCGAGCAGCTGGACCACAACAGAACCACGGCTGACCAGAACCACGGAGCTACAAGCTCATGACTAACAACCAGCGATGTCAGAAGCACCGCATCATAAAGATCGTTAGTGTGTTTTCCTGCCGTAACGTTCCGAAGCTCCTGGATCTGATGGGAAAACCGTGGTGAGAAGAGGCCTCACCTGGATAGGTGAAGGTTTCTCCCAACCCATCTCAAAGATGCCCATCAGGAGTTCCCTCTTCAGACAGTAATCTTCAAACTCGTTCCCCTTGGTTGCCGTGACGTCCTGCGACAAACACACACCAGTTAGAAAAGTCGGAGCTGAGCTTGGACGAAACCCGACTGTGGCGGGACTTACCGATGTTCTGACCCGGTTGTCCTTAGGGGGGAGCTGTAAGCTTTTTTTCCAGTCATCTCCAAACTTTATGCCCCCCCACTCTGGTTTCTGCGGAGCGCCCAAACTCTTCTCCTGAGCCGCGGACGCTGGTTGGACCGAAGCGGGCTTGGTCTGGCCTCGGAGCTGCCCGTTCTGCTTATTCAGTCCCATCACAACCGGGCCGGCGTTTTCTGTTCGGGCCGTTGCCATTTCCTCCCGACTCCCAAGGTTCAGATGGTTCTACTCTTAGGTTTTAATTTCTAAAAAATCTCTTCAAAAGTTAAAAAGCAACAAGTTTGATAAAGCGTTAAACAACTTTTTCTGTCCAAGCGTTTCAAAAACAAGAGGATTGAGAATATTTACATATAAACAGGTGTGTAGTCAGTCCTCCAACAACAGAGTGGCCGACGCACAAACAACAAAAACACGTTTGTACACAAAAGCTCTTCAAAATGAAGAGAAATCAGCATTCGTATGCATGAATACCCTTGTCCACAATATAGAAAATTATACGTGAACAAGCATGGAAGTGGTTCTAGTCCTGAAACAGAACAACTAAGGCAATCTGCACCTGGGGAACAGCTTGTTCAGTAAGAATAATCTCAGTCCAATACTTCTGTTTACTACTTAAACTATTTCTCTCGTTTCCATAAAGAGTTCATAAGAGCGGCTGCAACTCTGTGTTCCTGAAAAAAGACGGCTGTATAACTTTGTAAACGTTCTTCCCCAAAATTCATGTAGTTTATTTCCTCTGAGTTTCTGTTGCTTCGTGTGAGGAAATAAAACAGATCCTACAACAAGAGGTTTCCAGTCCAAAGCAGAGAAGCTTTGCCTCCTTGTTGAGTCTTCAGTGAGTTTCTTTTGTGCTCCAGGTGTGAAACCTCCTCTACCAGAACCACGCGCTGTTCAGCCTGGTCCTGACCCAACTCCTGCCTCCAAAATATCCAGACTCCAACTTCACCACCTAAAAAAAAAAAAAAAACACGTCAGAAAATCGCATTTAACTCAGCCATTTAAATAAAGATGCGTTTTAAACAAAACAACCATCCAAGGACAACTTCCGTCCAGATGACACAAACCTGAAGCCACCAGCTGCGTTCGCGTTAAACGAACAAACTAAAGCCAACTTCATCAACCTGAAGGTTGCGGGTCGGCTAAAGCTAAACTGTTGGTTTTCCACAAACGTTTAGTTTTAAATTCAGGCTCAGGTCTACGAATTAACCGTTTAAGAAGCATTGTAGAAAAAAAGGACTAAAAACCTACTTTTGTACCCCCGTTTGAGAAAATCGTGCCTATTTTCCAATAAATTTTACTCGCTTCGTAAAAATAACTTTCCGTGAGGTTTGTAGAGCATGTCAAGAAACGTTAGCCGCTAAAGGCTAAAAAAACCCCACCAAAAATGACCGCGGAGCCGAAACACCACGAGTCTATTTATGACCATTTAACTCAGTCGTGATGCTGATTCGTTTATTTAGTCGTTTTCATGTGGGTATAATCTGGTTCTTTCTTTGGATCCGAATCAGAACAGAACTACCAAGACAGCTAGCCTCGAGGCTAGTTTAGCTGTTAGCGTCGAGCTAATCTTCCACCAACTTGTTTTTAAAAGACCGAGAACGGCTCAAAGTTCACAAGACATACCTCAGTTTCTTCCTCAGACTTTGATGGATACGCAGAGTGCGGTGATTCAACGAGTTTCTTTTAAATTAGCTGAAAATGTCTTTAATTTAATCGTCTCTATTGTGTTTCTTCCTTTAAATCAACATGGTCGTCTCCTCTTCCTCGGTGTTTCTCTCTACTGTTTTTTTTAATAACGCTTCTCTCGGACGCTACCGCCACCTGCTGTCACAAACGGTCATTACACTACCGGAAGTCCTCTCAGGACGTCCTTTCTTTACTTATTTTTCCATTTTTACTCCTGGAGGGCCACTGCCCTGCATGTTGTAGCATTTGAGAAGTCCGATGATCACAGATGGATTAAAACCAGGTATGTTGGTGCAGGAAACAGAAAACACACAGGCCTACAGGCCCAGGGTCAGCCTGAGGACAGCTGAGGTGAAGACTATCCCAGTCAACCCCAGAAAAGCTGCCAGACCTGCAGACAACTGAACACCTGTGAGCCAGGCTGTGGTCGTCAGTCATCAGTGGCTTAAATGAGCATCGCTGACTCCCATTATGATGAAGCGTTTTGAGTGACTGGTTAAGGAACACACCTGCTCCTCTCTCCTCAGCTAAGGGGACCCCCTAGTTTGTTTACCAGTCAAACCTACAGCTGATGCCATTTACCACACACTGCACACTTCCTTCTCACACAGACGGACTGTCCGAGCATGCACGGGAGGTGGTGGTGGTGGCACACTCTGCAGAACTGTGGCGTCCAAATGATGCTACCCTAGACAGAGTAGAGGACACAGTAACACATTCCTAATGGATTAATGTAGATCACTCTTGGAAACGAGATCTGTTATCTCAATGAAACAAAAGCAAAGGGCTGAGAAGCTTCTGATCCTTTGGACATTGATCCACGAGTCTGAACCCAGAATGGAGGCGTCCTTTACCGTCCCTCAGCGGGAAACATGGGTGGATTTGGTTAGGATGCACTAACCAACATTAATATTTCACTTCATTACATTAATCTATGATTGATTAGACAATAATGTCTGATCTATAAATAAAAGGTCCTAAAGTCACGGAGCAGCTGTGTGGATACATATTTCACCTGTTTTCTGTCCGACTGAACTGGATAAGAAACGTTTAAAAAGCACAAAAACACAGTTTGTCTAGATTCCTTAAGCCGACACAATAAAAGAGTTCACCATGTTTCTATAATTGTCGTGGATAAAATGTAAAAATAAGCCCCAAAATCCAGTCAAACACGGTTATTTAATTTCACACCCAAACACTGCTGGTAAACATCCCACTGTAAACATGAGGCAAACAGGAAATAACACATCAGATGTAGCGACAGCATCCATGAGACACAGCATCTGTGCTTCCAGTTCAAGTACAGCTTTCATCCTGATCAGGTAGGAGCAGCGGAGTTCTCCGCTCAGGGCACAAAAACGGTCAGCAGGTAAGAAATACATCTGCATCCTTCCACTTGTTTAAAACACGCCGGTTTAGCTTATTAATACATAATAAATATCGTTTCTCCAAACAAAAGGCTGATTAAACTCTCTGAGAGGTGACTCCTCATCAGGGGGGAGTCGGGTGAAGCTAGTTGTGGGTGCTGGTGGAAATCCATCAGCAGGTTAAAGTGCAGCTTGATGTTACCCCTGATCCATCCTGGTTCTCAGCACAGGACCCGTTAACATCCCAGTTACAGGAACCAGCCGGGGGGCTTGGCACTACAGGTCTTTTGGAAGAGCATTCCTCGTGTTTTCCTGCAGGAAGACCTCCCTGACTCGAGCCACGCACATGTCTGAAGCAAACTGCGTCTCTTTGCAGATCTGCGACAGACTGAGGAAGCCGTGAGGAAGATCTTCCACCACTGTCAGGCTCACGGGCTGCTCCATCGCTCGCAGCTTCTTAGCAAACATCACAGAGTCGTCGAGTAGAGCGTCCAGAGCCGAGGCCTGAAGAGCACAGAGTCAGGAGGAGTGGAAACTATGTACGGTGTACCTAAACCACACGGGAGAATGTTCTCCGCCTCTCTTACCACAATGTGAACGGGCGGCAGACCTCTGAGCAGACTGCTCGGCGCCAGCAGCGGTGACACAAATGGGTTCCTCATGACGGGGCAGGACGTCGGGTTAACAAACGCTGGGCAGTTGGAGCGCAAAGGCTCGAAGCCATCCGGATAGTGGATGGAATCTGCAGAGTTCTGGAAGGCGAGGTCAGTGGAAGTCCTCCGGATATGGTTCCCTCTCGGAGAAGGAGACCCACCTGAGGTCCGGCTGGGATCCAGAAAGGACTGGACCCAGTTGGAAACTCCCTGAGTGAGGTCACTGAGCAGCATGGCCGTGTCTCGGCCCAGAGCACTCAGACTGCCTCTCCTGTCTGCCGGCTGGATCGTCTGGAAGTCCGAGCCTGGGAAAACCAGATTAGAGTGGATTAGGGTCAAAGGTCAGATTTCTATCCAACCATTTCAATAAATAAAACAAGAACACATATTTTTAACTGTCTGGATCAGGCTTAAACAGGTCTGAATCCAGTTTAAATTGGTCTGGATCAGGCGTAAACCGGACTGGATCAGGTGTAAACCGGACTGGATCAGGTGTAAACCAAACTGGATCAGATGTAAACTGGACTGGATCAGGTGTAAACTGGACTGGATCAGGTGTAAAGTGGTCTGGATTAGGCGTGAACTGGACTGGATCAGGTGTAAGCTGGACTGGATCAGATGTAAACTGGACTGGATCAGGTGTAAACTGGACTGGATCAGGCATACAGTGGTCTGGATCAGGCGTAAGCTGGACTGGATCAGGTGTAAACTGGACTAGATCGACGTAAACCAGACTGGATCAGGTGTACAGTGGTCTGGATCAGGCGTAAAATGGACTGGATTAGGTGTAAACTGATCTAGATGCAGTTTAAAGTGGTCTGGATCAGGTGTAAACTGGACTGGATCAGGTTTAAACTGGACTGAATGCAGTTTAAAGTGGTCTGGATCAGGTGTACACCAAACTGGATCGGTTTAAACTGGTCTGGGTCCGGTTTCAAGTGGTCTGGATCAGGCATTAAACTGGACTGGATCAGGCGTAAACTGAACTGGATCAGGTGTAAACTGGACTAGATCGACGTAAACCAGACTGGATCAGGTGTACAGTGGTCTGGATCAGGCGTAAAATGGACTGGATTAGGTGTAAACTGATCTAGATGCAGTTTAAAGTGGTCTGGATCAGGTGTAAACTGGACTGGATCAGGTTTAAACTGGACTGAATGCAGTTTAAAGTGGTCTGGATCAGGTGTACACCAAACTGGATCGGTTTAAACTGGTCTGGGTCCGGTTTCAAGTGGTCTGGATCAGGCATTAAACTGGACTGGATCAGGCGTAAACTGAACTGGATCAAGTGTACAGTGGTTTGGATCAGATGTAAAGTGGTCTGGATCAGGTGTAAATTTTACTGGATCAGGTGTAAACTGGAGTGGATCGGTTGAAACCAGTCTGAGTCCGGTTTAAAGTGGTCTGGATCAGGTGTAAACTGGACTGGACCGGGTGTACAGTGGTTCGTCTGTCCCTGATCTGCAGACCAGTAAACCCTGCAGGAGGCTCCATCAGCTGAACAAACTCAGGTGGGAGCAGGTAGTTAAACATTTCTTCCTCCCACATGATCCGATTCTGACAGAAGTCCTTCTGATGTCCTGTGTTCTGTTCTGGAAGGACCGGAGTGTTCTGCTGAGCCAAATGAGGCATGCAGCAGAACACAAACACACCTGCATATGCGTTCAGGCACTTGGCCAGGACGCCTAAAGGCAGCAAGGGGTCGATGAGTGTGAGCAGCCGGGAGGGCGAGGCATCCGTGGTGAGCAAGGTGGCTGGGTACGCAGCCACGATCCCATCAGGGACACGGATTCCAGAGGTCAAGGCCCTCATGGAGACAGTGATGCAGAGGTTTCCTCCCGCGCTGTCCCCGACAAGACAAACCCGCTCCGCTGTAGAACCTGGAATCAAACAGCAGAGCAGAACGTTCAGGTAGCACCTCATTTATGTGTTAGTACGGTGGCCCAGAAGGGACAAACACCAGGGTCTAGAACAGGACCAAGTTAGTTTCAGTTCCAACTCAAGCTCTTAGGGATGCACTGGTTCTGGTTCTGAGGGACGACTCTGACTAAAGAGTTTCTCAAATAACAAATGAGTAAAATAAAAATGCTTCACTGGCCTAAATGTCTGGTTCTGGAAGTGAAAAGGTCGCCCTGGAGGACGCCACTGCGATGATGAGTTCAGTGACCCGAAAGGAAAATCTCATTTCTGAGATCCTGATTGGTCGATCAACAGTCATGCTGAATATCGGCCGATTCACAGGTGCAGCAATTCTCACAGAATCCTGCTTCAAAAGTTTGGAACGATTCTTTTCCGTAGACCAGCTCAGTGGCCTAGTGGTAAAGCATCTGCCCTGGGACCGGCGTTCAAATCCCGGTCGGATCACAACGCCTCCCCGCTCAACCCTCAGCTTTAAGGGGTTGGACTGGGGCTTAGACCACCAGCAGCTCCCCATGGGGGTGGGTCAGATGCGTTTCACCACACACCTGATGGGACTTTAAGGTTCACTTCCTGCTTAAATCAGGCGAGCTGGAGCAGAAAAGCGTCTAAAACCGGCGGGATCTGGGGCCTGGGCGGGATCTGGGGCCTGGGTGGGATCTGGGGCCTGGGCGGGATCTGGGGCCTGGGTGGGATCTGGGGCCTGGGCGGGATCTGGGGCCTGGGCGGGATCTGGGGCCTGGGTGGGATCTGGGGCCTGGGTGGGATCTGGGGCCTGGGCGGGATCTGGGGCCTGGGCGGGATCTGGGGCCTCGGTGGGATCTGGGGCCTCGGTGGGATCTGGGGCCTGGGCGGGATCTGGGGCCTGGGCGGGATCTGGGGCCTGGGTGGGATCTGGGGCCTGGGTGGGATCTGGGGCCTGGGTGGGATCTGGGGCCTGGGCGGGATCTGGGGCCTGGGTGGGATCTGGGGCCTGGGTGGGATCTGGGGCCTGGGTGGAATCTGGGGCCTGGGCGGGATCTGGGGCCTCGGTGGGATCTGGGGCCTGGGCGGGATCTGGGGCCTGGGCGGGATCTGGGGCCTGGGCGGGATCTGGGGCCTGGGCGGGATCTGGGGCCTGGGCGGGATCTGGGGCCTGGGCGGGATCTGGGGCCTGGGTGGGATCTGGGGCCTCGGTGGGATCTGGGGCCTGGGCGGGATCTGGGGCCTGGGCGGGATCTGGGGGCCTCGGAGGGTTTTTCCAGCTTTATCTCGGGTCTTAATAAAACAAACCCAAAGAGTCTGACGTTACAGTCGGTAGGGATTAGGATCCAGGACAGAAACAGGAAATCTGCAGACGGACGAACACGTTCTCTTCTTCTACTGTTGAATCCGACGTTCACCTTAAAATGTAAACGGTTCAGTTTGGTTTGCTGCTCTTCCATCAGGACTCGTCTCGTATCAAATGGGCATCTGGAGGAAGTTTTTATGTCCAGTAACAAAGTCACTTGAGCAACCGGACGTAAAACTGGTTCATGCATTCATAACTTCCAGGCTGCCATTTTGTTTGGTGTCTAAACAGTTCCCTGGAAGTTTCTGTGTTTGTTGGAAACGATGCAGCTCACACAGACAGATCATATGTCTCCTGTTCTCGTCAGAAATCAGACGTCACTTTGATCTGAGATCTTTTTGTTCCTGCTCACAGAAGAACACGCTCTGCTTTCCAAGAACAGGTTTACATGTGATTCCCAGAATAAACGGGAGAGCAGCTTGATCTGAACCCGGCTCCTACAGCAGCCTACAGGCTTTAAACACGCTAACATATGGAGTTCAGCTCCGTGTCCTCCTCGTGTCGAGGCAACATGACGTTCACGTGAAGTTGGGCTAGGTTAGGGTTAAGTTCTGACAGAAACAAACAGGAAGCTGTTAGAAAAGAGGAGATATTGGTTATTAGGAGCGGCATGACCTGAGTTTTTTAAAATAGTCCGTCAAGTAATGGAAATCGAGTTGACTTCGACTAGTCATTGTTGACGTCATTCACCTGAAGCGGCTAAAACTGACGATGGGTGACTCAGCGTTTTCGCTGCGCCCACATTTTCCAAGTTAAACACACCTCTCCTAACAACGGTAGTTTCTGCTTCCTGCTTCAGCCCCGCCCCCTAAAACCGACACGGCCGATACAACAGGACGTCCCTTCTGACGCCTTTAACGTGGTCACAAACCTACTTAAACGATCCCTTCAATGACAAACGATGTGTTTATTATTAACATTTAAACTTTTATTAGCTCCAAAGTAAACACCTGGAAAAATGACTTCATGTGGTTTTTGTTTATCGATCAGAGCAACAAGGAGGGGGCGGGGCTTACAGCCTGTACTGGAACCATCCACTAGGGGGCGTTATTATACATGGAGAACAATAACAACCCCCACCAGGAGCCACGGCGCGACGACGTCCAGAACCAGATCAAACAGATACCTTCATCGTCTCACTGAAACGGTGACATCATGAAGGCTGCACATGCTCAGCACTGACCCAGCAGCTGACAGTTGTTCAGGGCCCAGCAGTAGGCGTAGAAGCACTCCTCCAGAGCTCGGGGAAAAGGCGCTTCAGGCGACAGAGAGTAGTCGACGGAGAGGATGGGGACGCCCAGCACCTTGGACCAGTTACGAAGATAATTCTGATGAAAGCAGCAGAAGAGACTCAGAATTCATCATGGTGCTCTCCAGACGAGGACGCGTAGGTCCAGCAGGCTGGTACCTCATGGGAACGAGAAGTCTGAGCCACGAAGCCTCCTCCGTGGAAGTGGATTAGCAGCCAGGGGGAGCGTGGCTGCTCCTGTATCCAGGGCAGACGGGAGGAGATGGGAGGAGGATCGCTTCGGGAAAACCCCAGCAGCTCCTCGCTGTCCTAAAACATCCAACAGGAGATGAGAACTGGACCGACTTCAAAGGGAAGGAGGGGTTAGGGTCAAGTTAAAAGTTTCATTTGAACATTTCAAACCGACTCGTGGATCCTCACCTGACCTTCTCGAAGGTCGTAGGAGACCAGCCTCATGTGGACCGGTCCGGGGCCCCAGTGGGCGATGGGGGGAGACACGGTGGTGGAGAGCCGGGGGTCTGAGGCCAGAGGGAGGCGCAGCGGGACAGGAGGCACCGTTAACGTGAAGTTCACCTGCACCGGGTTGGAGGCGATTCGGGTGAAACCCTGGACACAAAAACATTTCCTCCTGAGCGGCGCTCCTGGGTAACGGACAGGAAGTAACGGCGCGTGACCCTGCCTACTGATAAAATGTCCGACTCCGTGACGTTCCAGAAGGACTTCCAGAACTGCATATCCAGATTCTGCGTGATACGTTCAAACTCGGCTCCTCGTAGCTCCGGGTCGATGACGTACTTCCCGGATGTGAGGAGAGACAGGGCGGCCGTTCCTGCGGGGAGAGGAAAACTCATTCTGAAGATGATCCAAACAGCAAATCCCAAGATGAGACCAGCGGAAAAGCTCCTCACCGATCCCAGACTGCTGTTTGCCGTACGCCTCTCCGTAGGAAACCATGCTGATGATGATGGTCTGGAGGAAGGGTCTGAGGGCGGGGGAGAACTGTGGAGGCAAACAGACCACAGCGGTTTGATGGTGTGTTGTGAGACCCACGGACGGAGAAGCAGAAGCTACTGGAGGACCTGGAAGCCCAGGCAGCGGCCGTAGAAACAGGCTTTGTGCATGGAGCTGTACTCCTGCACAAAGCTGCGGTTCAGGTCCGAGTCCTGCTGGATGTAGAGCTGGCCGTGCTCGTTGTCGTGGATCAGACGCTGGGCCAGGTAGAGCAGGGCTCGCAGCTGGCAGAGGGCGCTGCAGTACGCCTCCATCTCCGCGGCGTTGTGCTCGGCTCGGAAGAACGCCCCGCTGTAGTTGGAGGCGATGTACTGGCCTTTGTGGACGATGTGCAGAAGACACGACTGGAGGACCTGAGGAGGACAGAGACCGTAAGATCATCAGCTGCTGTCAGCAGTTCTCTGGGTGACCTGCTGGGCTCCTTTCTCCTGATTGGCTCAACGAACTGACCTGTGTTTACTAGTGAAGGGCCTCGAGACGACTCTGGTCGTGACTTGGCGCTTTATAAATAAACTTGAACAGAATCAGAAACACTCGAGGGACGGGGAGAGTCGGAGGGATCCACTTGGAATAATCTGTGGGATGAATCTGGATCCGTGAGATCCCGTTTCAGATCAGAACCGTGGTCGGGCTTTTCTTTCAGCCAGAGGATGAAACAGCACAGATCCATCCTGATCGGACCTCTGGAATAATCTTTGAACCTCATCCATACGTTTATCTTCTTGGGAGCGGAAAGCCTCGTGAGGTTGAGTAGCGCTCCTGGTTGTCCCTGTTGGGTTTTATTCTGCCGGTTTTCCTTTTCTGTCACATCTTCAGTTACAGGAAGATGAACAACAAACTTTGTTCTCGGAGACATTTTCTCTGGAACGTGAAACTTTAATGAGACCCAACATTTACTGTGCATTAAAACAGGAATAAACCCGTTTATGTTGTGTAGAAAAGCACCGACTCGGCTCAGGCCGATACCGATTTACAGCAATAATGAGCTGAATCCTTTCTAGTAAAGGTGGGATGAATCCGGGCGATCCGGTATTCCTGTCAGACCTTAGTGGTGAGTTCAGGGACTAGAGAGAAAAAAGGAGTTTTAAAGCTTTATAGATAATTATAAAGTATTTAAGTTTAAAGATGATGTTTATGGATCATTTCAAAGCTGATCAGTTTAATTTTTCCTCCTCAGCTGGATCTTCTTCCCGTTTCTGTCTTTCCGATGCTGCAGCGGAACGCTCTCTGGGAATCAGGATTTTGGAGCTAAACTCCAGTTTTCTGTCAAACCGAGTTATCCGTGGAGAACTCTGGATAACTATTGGTCCGGACCACTCCAGGAGATCCAGGTGCTCCGACGGAGAACTGGAAGAAAGGCGTTTTTTCATTCCCCACATTGGACCCGCTCCGCCCCCGCGGCGCGTCTTACCTTCACCAGCGTTCGGTACCCGTTTCCGGGCGTCTGTGCGTCGAAGTCGTAATGATGATAGATGGAGGAGAAGCTGGCCACCATGGGCTCCAGGGCCCGGCCGTGCTCCTGGATCTGCTTCATACTCGTGACCAGGCGCTTGGTAACCGTCCCGTACGGCAAGTCAGAAGGCCCACACAGAACAGAGATGTTTTCCTGACACACTCTCTCCAGAGCTGAAAACACGACCTTGTAATCCATCTTAGAGGCTGGAGGGGAGAGAGAGAGTCAAAGGTCCACACGTGTCTTCATATCATATCAGCTCAGACAGCATGTGATGAGACCTGGGCCTCCTAGAAGGTGGATCATCAAGGTTAAACACACAGATCCAGCGTCACTCACAGCTGCGCCGATCACTCCCGCTATCGCTCTGAACTTTGGAGCCAGCCCTGACACCGGCACGACCACTCCAAGTGGAGGAAATTTGATTTAGCTGGTAAATATAACTGTTCATGAGGTATTTCATCCTCTGCAGCGCGCAGACAACACAACACGGACCGGTTCTGAAGTCCTGATTCATTAAATCAGCTGGTCATTTCACTCAGCTGCTTATGATCAGCTCTTTGAAAGATGCTGGAACTGTAAAAATCTGGATTTTTAACTGATATTTTTTAGCATCAATAAGAAAACTGTTCTCTATGGAGCTGGTTGAAAATCCCTGCAGGAGAGTTCAGGACAAGGAGCACAGCTCATCTTCTTCCCCTTTGGGATTTTCCCTTCTGGGGTCGCCATGGCGATTCATCTGTGGCGTATAACACCTTCAGAACAGAGAGGTTGTGCAGAAGCAGCTCAGAGCATCGAGCCGCTGACGAGTAACTGGTCAGGACACCGAGGCCCTGATGGCGATAGTCGCCAACACTCGGGGCTCTGCCATGTCTGTGGCACACGAGGGGTTCGAGTTTTAGAGTCTGGATCTAACTGGACCTCGGATCACAAAAATACACCAGAATGATGAGAAGAATTCCTTTCAATAACAGCATTCCCTGTAACTCGGACCCGGATCATAACAGCAGCCAGCTCAGTTTCAGGGTTCCTGCGACATGTTTGGTTGACCGTACCTTAAATCTAATGAGATATTCCAAAGCGTCCCAGATTTTCCTAAACAGATCCTCGTTTAAAACACGGGCTTCCTGTTCACCTGTGTAGGCTCAGGTAACCCATCCAGGTGAGAAACCTAGACGCTCTGCTCTCCAGAGGCCCCTTTCACATCCTCTTCCTTGTTCTCAGACCAGAGAGGATTTAATCCCTCCAGAGGGTTTTGGGTCTGTTTCCAGAGGAAGGAGACCGGGAGCCATCCTGACCGGATCAGCTAGAACTCATTATTATGGCCAATAAAAGGGAATGTTTGAACAGAGATGTTATCATTTCCTGGATTTTCCTACACTTTCACAGAGGATTCCTAACTCCACCACACCTGGTCAGGCAGGTTTCAGGTATCATGACCCAAGAAAGTTGTGTTGTTTACAAACGGAGCTTCGCTTGCCAGCTGAATGTCTCCCGTTTTCCCAGTTTTCCCTGAATAAACGTCCCGCTTCTCTCACTGAGGCCCTTTAAACGCATCAGCTGACAAATGACGCGCAGCAGTCCGTCAACACGCCTCGAAACAACACCGCCACTTCTCCGGTACCTTCTCCGGTACCGGCTCCTTTCGCTCAAACGTTCAGAACATCTTCAGCCGCCAGGTTCACCGACTTAAAACAGGAAAATCCCCGCAGGGAGCCTTTGATACCGGGCGGGAAGCGGAGACGAGGCGCCGTTTGGGCTGAGACAACTTCACTCACGACACCAAGTTGGAGTTTGTTTCAGCTCCGTGTCGGAACGCGGAAATGTTCGAGTTAAACCTTCTTCTCTGGGTGATTAGGCAGGCTGGACGCCTCGCGGAGCCCCACCTCAGGAGTTAAATCATCATAAACGCAACGAAGTCAACAGTAACGGCATTACTCACCGACACGCATCTTCTTCCGTCGTGTTCTGGTCGCTTTCTGTCCGCGCGCTCCCGCTGGGAATGCTGGGCACGAGCGGAGCGCGTGCAGGCTTGGCTCTGGCTACCCGGTTAGCATCACCAAAAGTTAGCAACAAAACAAAAATGTACCAAATAACTCACAATCTTATCTATAAATGTCCGTGCAACGGACGTGGTTTTGTTTACTGGTAAAGTTAAATGAAATAAAAACATTCATAACATTAACTTATTGTTTGCTTGTGAGTCAAAGTCTATAAAACATTCATGTGCTAACGTGCTAAATCCACCTAGTTCTGATGTTTTATTAAATTATATCTTAAGTTCCCTCAAAAATGTCATTCAGAATTTTCATAAGAAGGAAATGTAATGAAAACACACATGAACTTGAACATATGTAATTATTTAAAACCATAAAGGTGATTTTTGTTGTTCATTCACAATGATCATGTGTACTTCCACGTATTTGAGTTGAATAATAAAGTCTTGAATGTCCTCTGATGCTTTTATTCAAAGAAAATCTCATTTAAATTGATGACGTTTTGGTAAAATCTGATCAAATGAACAAATAAACCAAGAGTTTGTGATAAAGAGTCTCAGCTAAATAAGGTTTTCTGAAAAATGGACTGAGCTAAAGCCAGTTGTTTTTTGTTGGCTGTTAAATTTGATGGACTGTGAAATGTTATCAGCAGCGAGTTTCGTTAAAATCCACTCAGAGCTTCAGGCGAGTTGGTGACAAACACGACTGACTCCAGCAGCTCTCCCAGAATGGGATGGGGATAACGAATGCTCAACACTGTCAGTAAAACTGGCTGATTTCAGGCCGTTTCTGTGCGTTTTAAATGCCCGCTGGCTGTGGTCACAATCCTCAGTTTCTAATTAAAACCTGGAAGCCACTGATGGGTGACCTTTGAACCCACAGCGCTAATGAGCATCCACATCATGTGACCATGTTGCGTCACCTCTGCATGATGCAGCATGACAGGGATTTATTCTTCAGCTTGTGATGATCATTAGTATCAGATCACTGCTCAAATCAAAGGTCACCGGTGTTTATCCAACACTTGAGTGTGACTTACCAGCACTCCACATGGATGAATGTTGTCCGTCTGGAATGCTGGTGCTCTTATCCCTCTGGTACCAACATGCGTAGCGGTGGGAAAAGTCCGGTTGTAGTTTGTAGTGAAAAGATTTTCAGCTCATTGGTTAATGTTACTGCTGGCTTGTTGTTTTACTCGATAAGATTCATTTATGCTTATTTAGCACGTTTTAGAGACGACGAAGAACAAAATGTTCAAACAAACAAATGAATGAAACAACAGTCTTCCATACCAAACTGATACTGTTCATCAGCATCGAGCTGAAGTCCCTTTGCTGTCATGTGCCAGGGTGAGTACTCCTCTCATTTTCCCATCTTTGGAACCTTTGGATCTTTTCCCTGTGCTTGCCCATTACCAGGTTTTGGAACGTCTTTGGATTTCTGTGACTCCTCAGGATTACTCACCTGTGCCCCATAGGATTTCCGGGTGCAGCTCTCACCGTTCTCCATTCCTCCCGGCCGGCCCGCTCTCGACTCACTCCCTCTCCTGGACACCCCACTTGGATTCACCCCGGCAGCACCCAACCTACCCTTCCTCATTCCCACACCCCCCTACTCCCAGTAAGTCTATTCTCTGCACCCACCCAGTTTAGACTCACCTTCCTGGACTCACCTGTATCTGCTCTCCCCTCCTCAGACGCTGCGCTCCCGTCCTCCATCTCCACCGGGCTTTTCCAGTGCTCCTGCAGTTCCCGTTTTAAAATAAAGATTCTTTTTTACCATAAGATCTGTGAGTGTGTGATTCTGCATGTCTTGGGTTAAACACATTCCCCAAACCGTGTCGTTTGCTTCTCTTCTCTGCGTCTGACCCATCCCCTGGGGAGCGGTGAGCTGCAGACACATCCGCGCTCAGGAACCATTTGGTGGTTTAACCAGCAACCCCACCCATTCATGCTGAGTGTCAAGCAGGGCGGCATTGGGTCCTGTTGTCTTTAAGGTCTTTGGTACGACCCGACCGGGATTGGAACCCCGATCTCCCAGTCCCAGGGGGGACACTCTACCACTCGGCCACTGAGCTTCACAGTCGCCGTGTTCTGGCTTTGAGGCGGCTGGATCTGCTGCCTGGAAGAAGGAGGGTGAAAAGTTCATGTTGGAGTAGCGTGGTCCAAAAACGCCTCGTACCGATGAAATCCTGAATCTGTCTGCAGCTCCGCGTTTATTAATGATCCCATCAGTCAGCAGGTCCTGTTTCCTCAGCAGAACCGTCTCTCACGTAGCTCTAGGGGGTTCTGGTTCTGTCTTCTCGATGTTGATGTTGGCTCCACCACAGCAGGTCAGGTTCTGGTCTGGACCGCTGTAGCAACGTGGTTCTGTTGTAGGTCTGCTGCTTGATCATGGTTCTGTTTCATGACCCGGTTTGGACTGGAGGACTTTGGTATTTACCATGGTGGATTCGGTGGGTTTTATTGGGTCAGAACCAGCCCAAACCCTCAGCCGTCCACCCCCGTGCTGACAGCTGGGATCAGCTGTTTGTGCTGCAGTGCATTGTGGGTAAACAACATCCCTCTGGTCTCATTCTTCCAGAAGGTTTGAGGTTCTTCCAGATAAAACGCCGCCAGCCTGAGCTGCAATGACCTTTAACCTTTGCCCTGAGGCCTGTAGTGTCTGAGATGGAGCTTTTTTGGCCTTTGCCATTTCTCTGAGCTTTGACCTCTGACCTTGGGGTGAACCTGCACTGGCATCTACTCCTGGACCTTCTCAGCTGTTTGAAATGTTGTGAAGAATCCATCTCAGTGAGAACGATGGACCCGCTCCTTCCAGACTGTTGCATCCCGACTTTGGAATGATCTTCTTTCATCCTTACGTAGGACTGACAGATTGTTTGCTGTTGTTTTCCGGATTTTATTCTGTTTCTGTTTTAAGATCATTACGATTTTATGACTTTATGATTTGTTTTGTAGCACTTTGTGATCCTCAGTCTGTGACGAGTGCTGTAGAAATAAAATTTACTAACTTACTAAATAGTTTAGAGCTGAGTTTCGATCGCTCCTCGACTGGCGTTCCCAACATCTGCATCTCTACGGCTGATTCTTTCCATGGCGAAGGGAAAATGCCGCTGGTGGAGCTGACGGATGTCCCCTCCTAGTCCAGCGTAAGCTGTCATGATGTGTGGGCGAGTCGGTGTGTTTACAGGGTTCATCAACACACACCTGTACACTCGTTCATAATTCATCTGATTTAAAACCCTGAGCAGGTTCCTGTTCCTCCACCCTACTGGTTGAGAGTGGAATTACAACTGTCATTAACAACCCTGCTGCAGCTAGCGCTAGCAACAAGCTAACACCAACACGAGCCAACTAATACTAAAATAAACTACAGAGTAAAAAGATCCACACTGTTGGACCAAAAATATTATTATTTACAGGTCTAGTAGCAACAAAGCCAGGTCACCATCAGTCTGTGATTGTGTAGCCTCCTTTAGCTCCATCGGACTAGCATAGGTCGCGCTGATGTTCACTCTGGTTTTAGCTCTAAGCTTCACATCCAAAGACTCTTATACTTTTACTCCCGGGCTCCGCCATGATGCCGAAAGAGAAGCAAACTTCTTTTTCTTCTTCTTGTGCTTTTTATTGACGATCGGTGAACTGAAAATGCTAACCACTAGCATTAAAGCTAACAACCGTCAAGCAGGTAAATGACGCCCCGTAGGACACGTACCCTCTCCTTAAACTATCTACTGCTGTTTCTGGCCAGCAGGGGGCAGCAGAGTGGCGTCAAGTATGAAACCGGACACGTTTCTAACTCAACAACCACAGAGATCAAGGTCAGAGCTCCAGTTTTAAAACTATTACGTGTTCCTTTAGGTTTGTCTGATTTCCTCTCATCTGATGCAGGGGTTTCCCCACCAGGAGACACCGGCTCTCGAGCGATGCAGCGGCTTTACTCGTAAACATCAACAAAGATGGGTGTAAACAGCTCCAGCGTGATGGCAGACCACACTCTTGACTTCGGTTTTATTGTTATGATACAATATTAGTTTATCTTATGTGGCACTTGTGCCCTGGCGCGGAGGTGATGTCAACAGGAAGCCTGACGTGTCTAGCCGTGTTAACACTGTCAACAGAAACTGGTGGTTTTACTGTGTCTCTCTGCTGAAAACTGTAAATGATCTGAAGGAGAACTCGTTCCTCTTTTGTGTGCGTCTGATCTTTCAGATTAAAATATCAGATTTCTGTTAGTGCACTGATTGCAAATTGTCTAAGAAGGAATTTAATATTTGAAGATGTTTCCTGTGTGAAAGGAAAGCTGATACGACTGTTAAAATTTAAGCCAAAGTGACCAAAAGGTCCTGATAATTAACTGAAAGAAGAGAAATTCTGGGTCGCTCATGGGTCCATGTGGTCTAAATGTGCCATGTGCAGGTGCTGGCGGCGCAACGCGGCCGCGACGGACCAGGAGGGAACGTCTTCTTGTGGGAATTGTTTCGAACCCTCGGGATCTGAGTCGGAACTCCGGTTCAGTTTGATCCAAACAGACGTGACTTGGTTCTTCGTGAAGACCAGCCGAAGAGATGTCCTCTCAGAGAGAGAGAAAAGCTCTGAATCCAAACCACACCTGCTTTATTTTTGTCCCACCGAGAGAATCTCTGCTCTGATCTGGGAGTGTTCCTGCTGATTGTTCTCTAGAACTTCAGGAACGGCTTCTCACCCACATTAATACCAGTTTAAAGTTACTGACGGGCATTAAAGAACCGAGCAAAGCATCAAATCTGCGTCGGAACAAAGTGGTCAAACAAGCTGGTCCAGGTGTGAGGAGGTGGGAGGAGACGCAGGAGCATCAGAATGGGCAGAGCTTCACCTGCTGTAGAAAACTGGATCCTGACAGGGAGGCGAGCAGACAGAGGACCATCCCAGTCGGGTCGGATCCAGACCTGGATGTGAGGAGTGCAGCCAGACCCAGAGGGAGGAATGAGTGTCTGAGTCCGGAACCGCTCACATCCACACAACATGTCCGGAGTTTGGAGACCCGCTCTGTTCCTCTGCACCCTGCTGCTGGCGGTGTCCAGAGGCCCCACTTGGGCCAGAACCAGAACCAACGACAGCTCACTTAACTTGTTAAAGACAGAGAATCCAACCCATCCCGTGCATGGGAATGGGTCGGAGTCAGGCGAAGAACCGATCACCACGCTGCCCATCGTCTCCTGGCTCTGGGAGGAGGTGAAACCGCCGTACTTGGTGGCTCTGTGGATCCTGGTCTGCTGGCTCTGCAAACTCGGTGAGTCCCGATCACCTCGGACTTCCTGAGTTCGTTTCCCATTAAACAGCCTCAGAATATCCCAAACACAGTCGGAAAAGTCAAGGTCCAAAAAAATCTAACCATCAGATTAGAGAATCCAGGAATGGAAAATCATTCATGTAAAAAACGTTTAATATTAGGTGATTAATAAAATCTACAGGTAGTTTAGTCAGCCCAGACCTTCACATCCTCACATGTTCATGATCTTCTCGGGATGCTTTCACTCGTTTTTATTCCGATTTTGTTCCATTTCTGCATGAAAAAGAGTTTAAAACGTGAGTTTATTTAGAACATTTAGCAATTAGAACTTTTCCTTAAAAAACAGAATAAACTAACCAGATGATGATGATGATGATGATGATGATGATGATGATGATGATAACATGTCTTACTGGTTGGAATTCCGGGATCCATCCAGACTGGAGCAGATGTTCCTGCTGATGGTTTAGGCGTGAGGATGCAGATCAGCATCACCTCCTCCGTTAGCTTCTCCTCTTCGGACCCCGGCGGTGTTTTCAGAGGTTTTCCTGTCCTGAGAATTCCACTTTCATCTTTCCTGTTGTTTTTCCCACTTGTCCCACTTTCCTGGAGTCCTTAAAGTGGTTCCAGATCAGCGGTTCTCCAAACTCTCTGAAGGTCTTTCGTTGTTTTTCTTTGTCACTGTTGGTATTTTTGTGGATTTGTGTAAAAAACAGGAAGTTTTTTTTCACATGGCTCATAAAAACTTTTCCTGTGGAACAGTTCCGGTTCTGGTGGGAAGGACTGGTCCAAAGACCTTCTGACCTCTGCTGACGATGAGCAGAAGGACCCGTCTCGTGTCTTCACCACTAAATGTTGTGGTTTGAGTTGTGTGTAGTCAACAGCTGTAAATGAGTCGCTGCGCCGAAGGTTCTCCGTGTTTCTCTCAGCGGGTCCAAATACGGGTCTGGCGTTGGTGGGATGGAGCAGGTTCTTCACCTGGAACCAGAAACAACAGCTGACTCCTTCAGTTCCTGCTGCTTCAGACACTAGGGGGCGCTGCAACCGTCCTGCTGACTCTTCAGCTCAAAAACTTCTTATTTTAGTTCATCTTCATAATTTTGTCGTTGTGCATTTACAGCCGAGCAATAAAGTTATGTGAGTGAGTTTCACCCAGAAGGATGAAACGACCGGCGTTCATCATCCCGTTCAGGAACGTTTGGTTTCATCCGTTTGGACAAATTCGTAAACGGACTTTCAGACTGGACTCGAGGGCCGAGTGGAAGACTTGTTCCCGTCTTTGGAAGTGCCAAGTGAAGCTTTTTCCACTTGTGAAGTCGCTGAAACTTAACCAGTGTGCGTGTCTGCCGTGGCGAGTGGAGGTGACTCGAAGCTTCGCCGGGTTAGTCAGTAACTACAGGTCACAAACACAGCCGGAGCTGCCAGAAGTAAGACTCCCAGAAATATAAAAACACACAGTGGGAACACCGGGAGTTAATGAGCGGGAGTCGTAAATGTTTGATCCTTCTCCGTATTTTCCTTTAGACACCTGGGAACTGGATTTATGGATCGCTGGTGGAAAACAACTGGAAGAGCGGGAGGATCATTGCATGGATTTTCTTATTAGAGACGCCTTCCGGGGATCAGAATTCCTCCTCTGAGGTGCTTCTTTCATCCTGATCCGGTGACGTTCCCAGTGAGATCGCCAGAACGGGAGCAGAATCTCGGGCCCGGCTCATGGTTCTGCTGCTGACATGAGCTTCACCGGACTGTTTCATCCGTTTGAATCCCTGAGGAGCAAAACCGGATCCAGCTGCTTTCCTTCTCCCGCCTCGTGGCTGAAAACAACATGCTTGACCTTTTCTCCTCTGCTGCAGCCGTTACGCAACCATTAGAAGGCTCGGGTCAAAGGTCAGCCACTGTTAGCAGCAAATATCAGGTCATTTGTTACGCAGGTCTCACTGATGTGGTTTGAGTTAGCAGGTCAAACACACACGGCTGGTTTAAAGGAGCTGAAGGGGACGTGTTAACAGCTGAGAGTCTGACCTTTGACCTTTAACTTGGAGAAAAAGCCCACCCGCCTGCTCATTCAGGTGTTATCGAGGCGAGAAAACACCGTTTCAGAACCGCCTCAGTTCCGGGCTCGGGCTGACCAAAGTAACTCGTGTTTAAGACGAACGCCGCCTCAGCAGCGCGACTGATGTCGTCTCAATCCGCTCCCGAAGGTTTCAAACGACCCGGAACCCTTGGGAAATGATTAAATACGCCGGAGCAGAAAGATGGAAACAACATGGTCTTGGGAATGTTTTTGTCCAGAAAGAAAAAGGGCGGGGCTTAAAACCCAGACCGGAGCCGGCCGCCAGGGAGAGCTCTGGATGAGGGGTCACCGACCTTTGTGAAGATGAGCCGCACGAAGAGCTACCAGGCCGATGCAACAGGGACCTTCCAGCTGGATCAGATCAGAGCGAAACGAAACTTTATGAACAACAAACAAACATTTTGTTGTTCCAGTGACAACAAAGTGATTCTCAAACACACAAAGAGCATCATTCCATCGGAACTCAGCGAGAGGCCGTTTACCTCCAGACGGATAACGCTGACCATACCTGAACGCCTCGTGCTTTTATTCACACCTGTGGGATCGGATCATCCAATCAGCTCGCTGCTCTTTGTTCTGCAGCAGGACGGTTCTGAGAACACACATCAGGACGAAGGGGAACGGATGGTTTGTGGGGAAAGAACTGGTGTGTACAGACGTTTGAATAAAAACAACAAACAGAAAAAGGTCGTCCTTTAGCTGTCCTCTGGTTTCCGAGGGACAGTGAACGCAACACAGTGTTTCATTGTTGCTCTGGGAGCAGGTGCTGTTGTTTCTGGGTCGGTTCTGGTGTCTTCGCCCTGAACAGCCTCAGTTAGAGAAAGAGTTCTGGCTGGATCGATGCGCTAACGGCTAGTCTAAGTAGGGCCAGGTGTCTAAAGTAAAGAAGTCCCCAGCAGGTTGTGAAAACCTTATTTCATAAGCATCACAGCTTTTTATTCCCAGCGTGAGCGGCTGCAGAATTCCAGGCTGGAATTCCAGAAGCATTCTGCCGGATGATTCATGAGAAATGAAAAGGTTTTACGCCGTAAAGGTTAGTAAAACGTTTACAGGAATTTGTTTCAAACCCTCAAGTTTGTTGTTGATTCGTAAACCTGCACATGTCTAAATCACGGGTGTCCGTGGGGAGTTGTGGCCCCCGGGGGCCGAAAAACGGGAATTTTTCCCTTCAAACTTTAACATTTACATAAATAAATGTTTTCCTCTAGAAACAGGCTGAAACGGGAACGTCAGAAGATGAAAGCGTTGGTTTACATCAGCAGCTGGAGATGCACGCTTTAGACCCGCCCGGCGCCACGGACGGTTTCAGGTGAGGCCAAGTTGATCTCCTGTTGAATGGGATCAGGCTATCACCTGGATTTGTGTCTTGGACCACCAAACAGAGCGGAGGGATAAAGCGTCTTTCCGAGTCCCGTTCACCTGTTTCTTGTTATTTTTAGCTTTCCTGTCGTACCGTTTAATCTTTTAACCGCCGCGGATCACCGAGAACACCTGTGGGTTCCTCTCAGCGCCTCGCCGGCAGTCGTAGAACTTTTAAATGGCTCCACGTGAAGGATGAGATGTTTGCAACGGAGGCGTGCCCCCCCAGGAACAGCTTGCTTCCAAATCCCGGGTCAGAGGGCCGACGTTCCGAAACACGTACGACTGTGGAACTCCACAGGAAGAGTTCTCAGAAGCTCTTTGTGATTATTTTTGTGTCTCCATCAGAAAAACGATCAGGTCCTCGTGAACACAAACTTCTGACCAGCCAATCAGACGGCAGCATTTATTCATTCAGAACGGAGAAGAAAATGAGATTCAGATGTTCCGATCTGCTGGGATTTGAACCCAAAACCACCTCTAGGGTCGGAGGTCAGACTGGTTCCTATGAAGATCTGCAGGACCACACCAGCTGCTCCAGATGGACTCCAGCAGCAGAACGGGACATTCAGGCAACAATTCCCACGGCTTCACCAGAGCTGGAAAACGTTTTCCTGGTCTGATGGGTCTGGATCCCAGCTGCATCCTAACCCATCTTCTGATGCTTCTTCCAGCAGGACCACGCCACAAAGCCAGATCAAACTTCCAGACAATAAAAGCATCAAGAGCAGATCATCTTTCTGACCTCTGAAAACAGGCCTCAGCTCGGAGCTGCTGAAGCTCTGGTGTTCCTCAAAGGAATTCTTATTAAACTGGAACCTTTCACAGACGATGGAGTTCTGTGATTTCCTGATCACAACGGCTCTCGGCCATCAGCTCAGACATCAGCTGACCCACGTTTGAGAAAAAACACCATGTGTCTGGTCGGCTGGGTTGTGGAGGCTCCCGGGAATCTCTGACCTGCCTCTCCTGCTCCTCCTGGAGGGTCCCAGAGCATTCCCATACCAGAGAGGATATGTAGTCCCCTCGGTGGGCCTCCAGAGCTGAGGAATTCTGGGTTCATCCTTCTGAGAGGAGGCATCAGATGCCTGAACCACCTTGGCTGACTCCTGTGGATGAGGAGTAGCAGCGGCTCTCCTCCGGCCCCTCCTACTCAGCTCCATCCCACCTCATCCTGGATTGGTAGATGATTTAACCTGAGTTAATCCAGCTGGAGAAGTTAAATCATCCACAAAGGGAACCGGAAACCAGTCAGGATGTCTTTTTGTCTAACAGTAACCAGGCTGCAGCTTGCAGCCGCTCCGGGATTTGGGAACTTGTTTTAGGAAATGTTTGCGGGACGGCTGACTTATGCAGGGGATTCTTTAACCACGCTTAGGAAACATGAAGGTGAATGATTACTGAGCCGTGGAGAAGCTTCCAAACAGCTTCTGCTCCATCACACTCCAGTGGTGTCACAACGAACCGGCAGCAGCGTGACTGAGTAACAGCCGCCTCCTCCGACACCTCCACCTGAAACACACCACCCGGCTCGTCAAGGTGTGTGTCCACGCCGGGTTTTATTGTTCTGACCTCCGGCTGTGGGAGGAACCGGGATGGGAAGTCACAGACGCAGATAAAGCCTGGTGAGGGGCCGGAGACCCGTCCTGGGATCAGAAGGACTTCTGTTTTTACCACGATGGGTCGCGGTGGTTCCGTCAGGTTTTGGATCTTCGGCTCGATGCTCCTGATTGGTGTTTGGGGTCAAGAGCCAAAGTCAGAGCGCCACGATGAACACGGTGGCGGATCCAACGTCAGCGGGATCTCCATCGTCTCACTCGAGTGGGAATATGTGGAGCCTCCTTACCTCGTGGCTCTGTGGATACTGGTGTGTTTCCTGTGCAAACTGGGTAGGTGCCACAGAACCAGCTAGAACGCGGGCGCAGAACCTGACCACAGCTCAGACAAGTTTCCACCTCCCGGACCTCTCTGCATTCGGGGAGATTTCCATTTGAACTTTTATTCTGGATTTTTCCTGACTCAGGTTTTTCACTGTGAGGAGTTTTATTCACGTTTCTGAGATTCTAAATAAAAAATCACCAAAATAAAAGTTTCAGTCGACCTCAAACATGAATTAGATGTTAAAGGTTTCAAACCAACGTTTAAACTTTTAAGAAAACAAATTCTTGTTCATTTATGAAATCTCACGTTTTATTTTGAAAATCTCCAAAAAGCTGCTTTAACTGTTTTTCTGTCGGTTGACCAAACCTGATTTTTTCAGACGTAAGAAAGGACGAAACAGGAAAACGTCTTTTAGAGACAACAGGGAGCTCTCTGGTGCTGGGCCGGGCCTTTGGTGCATGAGTTATCCTCCACGGTTCAGGTCCAAGACCCGAAGGCGAAGTTCAAGGACAAAGTCAGAAAGGACGAAGTAGAGATGAGGAGTGGACCAGGAGATCCTGTCCTGCTGCAGAGGACACGCTCTTTAGTCTAAAGCACGGAGACGAGTGCGCTGGCGGGGATTTATTCAGACTCAACCTTCTGAATCGTTTTCCAGGAGCCGAGGTGTTCCGCAGGGTCGTGCTCGGCTGCACAAATGCACCAAACAGCTGACATTCCAGCGACGTGAGGTGTCTGTGAAGTGGCCGTTTCTCCAAGCCTCAGTGGGTTTTATTATTACATAAACTTTAGTGATCCTCCCGCCGGTTAACCATTGGCTCAGGACAAAGGGACACGAGCTGTTGATTATTTCTACATCTGAAACTTTACAGAAGTCGTTTCTGGTTTAGTTACAGGGCAAACGTCGGGTTGGTCATTAGTTCAGTCATGAATCTGAAATCAGACCCATCAGATGTTACGATGACACTTCAGGTCTGGGACCGGGCCACAGAGCAGCAAGATCAAAAGGTCTCCTTCAAAATAAAAGTGTAACCTTGTGTTTGGTGTTTCAGTCATCGAAGCAAACCACCATGTGACCGAGTTCATCCCCGAGAGCGCTCTGCTCATCTGCTCCGGCTTCATCCTGGGGGGGATGATCTGGGGGGCAGACAAGGTCCAGACCTTCAGGTTGACCCCGTACGACTTCTTCCACTACTTCCTGCCTCCGATCATCTTGGATACGGGATACAGCATGCCAAACAAGCTGTTCTTCACCAACCTGGGAGGCATCCTGATCCACGCCATCATCGGGACCTGCTGGAATGCTGCCAGCCTGGGGCTGTCGCTGTGGGGGTGTCAGATAGGCGGAGCCATGGGTAACAGCAGCGCCTTAACTTCATCTACATATATGTACTTATACACATATGTACATGTATACTCATATATACATGTAGTCATGTATATATGAGTATACATGTGCATATGAGTATACATGTGCATATGTGTATAAGTACATACATGTACATATGTGTATAAGTACATATATGTTCATGTATACTCATATGCACATGTATACATGTATATATATATATATATATATATATATATGAGTATGTATACTCATATTTACATGTATACTCATATATACATGTATACTCATATACATGTATATATGTACTTATACACATATGTACATGTATACTCATATACATGTACATATGTGTATAAGTACATATATGTTCATGTATACTCATATGCACATGTATACATGTGTATATATATATATATATATATATATGAGTATGTATACTCATATTTACATGTATACATGTGCATATGATTATACATGTACATATATGTACTTATACACATATGTACATGTATGTACTTATACTCATATGCACATGTATACTCATATGCACATGTATACTCATATATACATGTAGTCATGTATATATGAGTATGCATGTGCATAAGTGTATAAGTACATATATGTACATATGTGTATAAGTACATATATGTATATGTATACTCATATGCACATGTATACATATATATATATATATACACATGTATATATGTGTATAAGTACATATATGTACATGTATACATATATACACATATATCTACATATGTACTTGTACACATATAGACTTATATACTTACATACTTATATGCATATATACTGATATATATATACGTGTATATATATATTTTTTGATTGATTGATTGATTGATTGATATAAATTTACACAGATGTACTTTTATTTTCATTTATTTAAACAGATGAGTGGATGGAGAACTCATTCTCATTTACAACGGGGATCTGGCCAAGAGGCAGCAGCAACAGTCACACAGTTAGCTTTACACCAGAGAAATATAATATGTATGAGTAATCAGAACTTAGAACACTGATCAGAAACTATTGGTCACCATGAACTATTGAGGGTAGATAAAGGAATGTAGGTCGGGAGCTTCAGTGGTTCTGCAGCTCATTCCAGTCGTTGGAAGCAGCAAACTGGAATGAGGTGCGAGCTTTGGGAATAACCGTAGAGATGAGGTTACTGGAATGTAAACGGTGCTGGTTGCTGGTACTTGTATAACATATATTTATCTACATACGTATTTATATTTATGCACATATATACTCACACAATTATATACTTAAGTACTTACATACTCATGTATATTTTTGATCGATTGATATAAATTTATACAAATACACGTATATAATAAATATTTATCTACCTATGTATTCATAAACATATATACTTATCTAAATATGTACCCATACATACATATATACATAAATACGGTTCTTAGTGACCAGGTAAATGTTGTTTCTGCTGCCTGAACCTCCATCATGGTTCCAGCGACCAGGACCCTCTCAGACTGATCCTGTCCTGCTCCAGGTGACCTGAACGTCGGCCTGCTGCAGTACCTCCTGTTCGGTAGTCTGATCGCTGCTGTCGACCCCGTGGCCGTCCTCGCCGTGTTTGAGCAGGTCCACGTCAACGAGGTCCTCTTCATCATGGTGTTCGGAGAGTCGCTGCTGAACGACGGCGTCACTGTGGTGCGTAAGACCAGCGTCCTGCTCTCTGGGAACCAAACTGATGTCTTTGGTATTTTTAAATATGCAACAACAGAAACGGGAAGAGTTTCTACTGAAGGAGCCAATGACTCAGAGCCTCTGAAACCTTCTGAGCTTCTGGCTGCTCGGAAGGAAAATATTAGAGCTGAACTGGGTCTTTGTTGGGAAACCCAACTCAGGAAAACCTGGTGAAACCCTTCTAAGACCATCATAGACGATGCATCACGTTGAAGGGAAATGAAAGAAGATCAGAATCCTTCTGGAATGATGTCATCTGAGCATCAAAATCTAAGAAACAAGCTGCTGTCTTGGACCAAAGGCTCCTGTGAAGGTGTCCGTCTCCACAACATTCATGGTTCCTTCTGCTTTTTTAGGTGCTCTTCAATGTCTTCAATGCATTTGTGACTCTTGGAGGACCCCGAATCAATGCCGCTGAGATCATTAAAGGAATAAGTGAGACTTTTTTGGGTTCTAACTCTTTCCTGACCAGAAGTGTTTATTTGGGCCTGATCTGTTGTCTTTTTCCAGTTTCCTTCTTCGTGGTGGCGTTTGGCGGTAGCCTGGTGGGGTTTGTGTTTGGCCTGCTGTTCGCCCTTTTGTCCAGATGCACTAAAAACATCCAGATCATCGAGCCCGGCTTCCTCTTCATCCTGGGATACCTGGCCTACCTGACGGCTGAGATGCTCTCCTTGTCCGCCATCCTCTCGTGAGTTCTCCAAAAGTTAACATCAGGGGTCTCATTTATCAAACATGGCGTAGAATCCTTACTAAAACCGTACTTAAGCTCAGCAAACAAAAGTGCTTACACCAAGCAGGTGTGTGATCTATCAAACATGGAGGACGCACAGCTGCACGCAATCTCCGCTTCATAAATCAGAGTCTAACGAGAATGTTTCTCAGCTGCTTTTTAGTCACATCCCACCCTCACCACGCCCACTTACTGCCATAAATGGTCAATGCAAAGTGCCTTGTGGACCTCATGCATACACATAAGCCGGCTGTTGCAGCGCTCCGCCAACGACATGACGACCGTAGATCAAGGCAGATCAAGGAAGCGCTATTTCACACAAGCAGAAGTTGAGGTACCTGTGGGTGAGGTGGAGAAATGAAAGGAAGTTCTTTTGCAAAACAAATAAGAGAAAACCCACGGAGTGGCACAGCGTTGCTGAAGCCGTCAATGCTGACTTCTTCAGAGAGATCTGTGGCGGATATAAAAAATGGTCCAATCAGGATTCAATCCCCAGACTCCCGGGTGAACGTCACGCGCACTAACCAGTCACCCAAACAGAGATCTCCCCTGTACAAGTAGCCAGGTCACATGATCAATCAGGTCACAGTGACAGGACACACACTGTCACACACACATGATGTTCTGTCTCAATCTGTCCCCCTGCTGATATTCTGTACTTCAGGCTGTGTGTGTGTGTGTGTGTTTGTGTGTGTGTGTACAAGTGATAATGCTGCAGGATTTCATTATTGTATCTTCTCAGCAGCAGCGCTGCAGGTGCTCTCCATGTCCAGCATGTGTGTAAGCCAGGTCCTTAGTCAACTTACAGTTGCACACATTTTCCGCTACGTTTTCGTTCATAAATCCCAAAGTTTGCGCGTAAGCCAGCTTGATAAATGAGGCCCCAGGTCTTTAAAATCAGATCAGATGAATGAGGTTCTATAGCACCTTTATGGGTCAGAGGTCATTCACACACTGGTGGTGAGGAGCTACATCATAGCCACAGCTGCCCTGGGGCACACTGACATCGGCCCCTCTGACCACCACCAGCAGGCAAGCATGGGTTCGAACCAGCAACTCCTGACCCTGAATGAGTTTAAATCTGTGGTCCAACAATCAAAGTCTCAGTCCTTCATTTGTTTCATCGTTTGGGTTAAGCTAACCCTAACCCGGTGGAAACAAGACGATACAGGGTTAGGACTAGGGTTAGTCATCCAGGTCATGGTAATCTAAAGGGGTGAGAGGAGAATCAAAACATCTTCAAGACACCAAAGAAGTCCAGTTGCCTTCATTCAAACCCCTTCGGAATACCTAACGATGGGATGCAGGGTTATATCCCGATCAGCCAGTCCCGTACTTCCCGGCAGAGGACGAGTCTGGCAGGCCAGGCTAACAGGACAATCCCAGGAGGAGTGGTACGATCTGTTTTTGGAGACAGGACGAGATATGAGATGATCCGATGAGACGGAACAATCAGAGACGAAGAGATGTAAGGAATGTTTCGCCGTTGGAAGTCTTGTGCTGGCCAAATTGCTGTCCCAACAGCATGAAGACGGAAGACGACCGCAGCGGTAGGGTTCATGAAGTCGATCCTTTTAAAATTCTGAACATGATGTTGGGTCAGGGTCATCGGCCGCGTTAGTCTCAAATGCACCTGCAGGCAGGTGTGTGTGTGTGTGTGTGTGTGTGTGCTGATGTGCGTGTTTCTGTTGTGTAGGATCGTTTTCTTCGGTGTGTGCTGTCAGAAGTACATCAACGCCAACATGGATGAGAACTCCGTCCGCACCATGAAATGCGCCGTGAAGGTTTTTGCCAACGGAGCTGAAACCATGATCTTCGTTTTCCTCGGCATCTCCGCCATCGATAAGTCCATCTGGGTGTGGAACACGGGCTTCGTCCTCCTCACGCTGCTCTTCATCTTAATCTACAGATTCATGGGTGAGGCTCTTGGCCCTCCAGCGTCGGGTTTCAGAGTCAGTCTGATGTTTGAAATCACCCCGCTGCTGTTTCTGCTTCCAGGTGTGTTTTTCCTCACCTGGTTCATGAACTTGACCAGGCTGGTCCCAATAGACTACACCGATCAGGTGATTATGAGCTACGGTGGCCTGCGCGGGGCAGTTGCCTATGGCCTGGCAGTCATGCTGGACGAGGCCAAGATAGAGGAGAAGAAGCTGATGGTGTCCACCACCCTCATCGTGGTTTATTTCACCGTAATCCTTCAGGTGAGTCTCCACAGGTGTGCTGCTGAGTTGTGGATCTTACTGAGGGCTACATCTTCACCTGCAGGGAGTGACCATGAAACCTCTGGTGAAGTGGCTGAAGGTGAAGAGAGCTGCCTCCGCTGAGAAGACCCTGATAGAAAAAGTGCAGAACCGGGTAAAAGACGATGGAGCCGCAGGCACCAGAACCTCTCCAGACGCTGCGCTGACGTTTGGTTTTCTCTGCAGGCCTTTGAGCACATTCTGGTGGCCATCGAGGACATTTCAGGACAAAAGGGAAACAACTACTTAAGAAACAAGTAAGCCAGAACGTATCAGGAACCACCTCCAGGTTCAGAGCCTACAGCTGTGTCTTCTCCTGCAGGTGGTTTAAGTTCGAGGAGAACTGGATGTCGAGGATCCTGCTGAGGCCGTCGGTCAGAGAGAGGCAGGACAAAGTCTTCAACGTCTTCCACCAGCTCAACCTGAAGGACGCCATGAGCTACGTGGTCGAGGTAGGACCACAGATCTCAAACCAAGTACAAGTACTTACATTTGAGTACTCACCAATGCGAGTACTAATAAATATCATCACTCTTTTAAAAGTAACGTATCCGTAGTTTTGGTACCGTATCGGTCCGGTAGGAGCACGCATTCGGTATCGGCCTGAGACCGGGCGATGGTATCGACATCGGTGCTCCCTGGTTATGATGATTCGTACCTCAAGGAAGTCTGCGCCACAACCGCTTCCCAACATCAGCTGTCTCATCCCATTCCACAAACGGTTCCCATGAGTCCAAACTCCAAATTCCCCGTATCTGCTTCCTTTTCCCAATCCGCAGCTCCCAAAACAGCCGAATCTTTTCCTCCAACAGCTGTAATTGTTCCGTGTTTTCACACACACACACACGCGTACACACGCACACACACACAAACACACACATACACACACGTGCACACACACACACAGGTGCGAGGTGTTAACGGCCGTGTTGTTCCAGGGTGAGCGGCGAGGTTCTCTGGAGTTCATCCGGAACGAGAGCGCGTTTGTTGACTTCAAGAAGAAGTTCGGAGAGGACATGACGATGTCCATGCCCGACATCATGGCCGACATGTCTGACGATCGCAGTGCTGCTTCATCCACGAGGTGAGAGGACGTTTTCACTCAGCTCTGAACCGCCGTGTTAACGTTGTCACCAGGTCTCCAGACGTTCCTCGTCTGCTTTTCGGTGAAAGTTTTCCTCCAGATCAGATTTATTTGTTGTGAAAACTGATGCCCGACTTGCTGCTGGAGTAGCTCCCCCTAGTGGCTACAGAGAGTCATCTTCACGATGTGCTTTTCTCGTTTGCAGGAAAGAATCGGTTCCATCGGTGAGTCTAGAAGTCCATGAGCAGGCCATGAGGGGAACCAGAGCAGCCGAGGGCCTGGACTCCCACCACCTCCTGCAGCAGCATCTCTACAAGGGCAGGAAGCAGGTGAACCTTCACCCCCACACCTCCTTCAGTCCCAAAGCACGCTGACCCACCTCACCTGACTGTTCTCCAACCCAAAGCACCGACACAGGTACAGCCGCAGCCACTTTGACATCAACAAAGACGAAAATGAAATCCAGGAGATCTTCCAGAGGACCATGAAGAGCCGTTTGGAGTCCTTCAAGTCTGGCAAGATGGGCGTGGCTCCCCCTAAGACCATAACAAAGCACACAAGGAAGGAGCAGCAGCAGAAGGTCAGAACCGCCCAAACGCTGACCCAGCAGTCAGTTCATCCACTGGAAAAGGATAAAATCCCACGTTGTCTGTTCTTCCCAAACCCCACGCTCCACGGAAAAACACTTTTTCAGGATTTCAGATGCTTTACTAGATTTTTCCGACAGGTCTATAATATTCAAGCAGTGAAGAAAAATCTAACCTTTCATTTCTTCTGGTTTCAGTTGCAGAACAAGAAAAGTAAAAGCCGCCTGTCTGGTGACGAAGGTTCGTACGCGTCTCTAACTAAAGCTCGGGAGGTAGAGCGGGGTGGCCCGTAGTCAGGAGGTTGCAGGTTCGATCCCGGCTCCCACCAGAGAGCGCTGCTGTTGTGTCTTTGGGCAAATGCCTGCTGGTGGTGGTCGGAGGGGCCGGTGCCGCCTCTGCCAGCGCCCCAGGGCAGCTGTAGCTACATGGTAGCTCATCCCCACCAGCGTGTGAATGACCGACTGTGTTGTAAAGCGCTTTGGGGGGTTGTAGAACCCCAAGAAGGCGCTGTACGAATACAGGACATTCATCATTTTTAAAAACTCTCCCATAAATGTAAAATTTCTACGATGCTGCGACAAGAGCGAGCTGCACTTGTGTCGTCTTTCCGAGTCTGAGGACTCCACAGTGCCTCTAGGAAAAACCAGGAGCTCCGGAGCACACAGGCGCGTGTTAACGAACAACAGCAAAGGCTTACTGAAAGGTCAAAGGTCATTTCCAAAGGGGTAAAAGAGACAGGTGGAAATCATGAAGACAGACACTCGTTCCAGGAGCGGACCTTCCAGCAGGTACGCTACAAGGTCAAAGGTCAGAAACGATGAGAAAACTGGAGTGCTTCACCTCAGCCTCTGGCCCAATCCCGATTCTCGCACCCTTCGACTGCGCGATCCCGACCAGGGCTGCGAGTGCGTCGGGTGTCCCGATTCCCAGCGTGGAAGTTCATCACGCCCCTTTTGCACCGAGTCGGCATCGAGGCGAGCCACCAAACCAGAACCGACCCGAGCCGACGGGTCAGGCCGAACCTCCAGGTCGGTGGGTGGATGGCCGCAGGAGCAGCTCTGTAAACGTTTGCAGCTTGTCCTGTTGTGTCCACGAGCTCCAACGTTGTAAATGATCATTTTTTCACTAAAACTCTGAAACAGCTGATGCTAATTTTGTGTATTAATGTCAGCTAGCATGATGCTACTTCCTGTTGTTCCTGTGCTAATGCTGACGATCGGGGACGTTGGTCTAAAGTATAAATACACAGATGATCAACACTGTAGTCAGCGCAGTTATCGCGGTTTTCCGAACATCGTCCTTCCCGGGAGCATCTCTGTGGTTATGGAAGCCCCGCCCCCACGCGGCGGGTCGTGAGCTGGTGTGGTTGATGTTGGGGTGACTCAGGGGTCGGGCCTTGAACCTTTACTGACTGAATAAATACCTGCGGTGTTTGATAATGAAACACCAAACGAGCGCAGCTGTGGCTAGGATGCAGCTCATCACCACCAGGGGGCGAAAGGGTGACGTGTTGTAAAGCGCCTTGGGGGGCTCATGGATCTACTCATGTGTAATAAGAGTTTGATGGTGTTCCCTCCAGATTTTGAGTTCTCTGAAGGCGACAGCGCTTCTGGTTACGACACTTCGTTCCCAGTCAGAGGCGGCTACAGGCCTGGAGGTAAAGCAGCCCTCCCACCTGAGCTCCTTTGACCTTTGACCCCCACAAGCGCTGACCTGGTTCCTTTCTCCCCCTCAGCTGGCATCGAGAACCCGGCCTTCATGCCAGACGTGGACCTGCCGCTGCAGATCCCTCCCTGGCTGGAGGATGTGGACTCGGTGGCTCCTTCCCAGCGAGCTCAGGTCCGGTTGCCATGGACACCCAGCAACCTGCGGCGCCTGTCTCCTCTCCGGATCAGCACCCGTTCCAGTGACTCCTTCAATCTGGCCGAAGCGCCGGGCGATCACCAGGACGACCAGCTGCCTCCTCCCCCGACTCCTCCTCCTCACAGAGACGGAGACGTCGTGTAGCGTCCCGCCGCGCCTCCGGACTTCAGAACCGGACTGCCAAAGACAGAACCGGACCTCGGATTTCTCACATCCGTCTCGGTTGTCCTCAGAGCGAAGAAAGCCTCTGGGTCCAGCTGTCGGAGGTTCTGATGCCAAACCTTTAAAATGTTTTATTTCTGGACGTAAAAAAGGAAATTTATAGAAAGAAAATCTAAAATCAAATCTTCCGTCTGGATTTCTTGTTTTGCTGTGAAGGATGAAGCCGTGAAAAGGCTCTTGTGTGTGTTTAGATGTAGTTGGGTGTGAGACCAGCAGAGGGCGGTGTGACACCAACTTCCTGTTTCCTGTTAAAACTGCATTTAGAACCAACGAAGAAGAAGGTTTTGGCTTCTGTGGAGTCGGTTTCTAAACCAAACATTCCTAACCGGATGAAACCGGCTGCAGAATAAAGGTTTTAGCGCCGCAGGGCTCAGATTAACGCTGAACGCAGGATTCAGCTTTTGTTTCACCCGTTTGTTGATCTGCAGGAAATAAACTCAAAGTTGTTCTTTAAAACCACGTTTAGTACCAACAACTCTACATTTGATCCTTTATGATGAATTAAATTATTTACAAACAACTGGGCTTTTGTTTTGTTTACTTTTCCTGGATGAAGAAGTCGGATTTAGTCCTGACCCGGTCCAGAACCGCTGACCCGGCGGCCTGTGGTTCTCCGTGTTGGGCCTACAGAAGATCTCAGAGCTGAGGCCGAGCTAAAGGAACCCGGTCCTCATAAATAATCCATCTCGGACGCTTCCAGGCTCTTCCTGATGAAGTCCAACAGGATCTTTTCATTCTCCGGGTCCTTCAGGTAGAAATGAGACCCGTCAAACATCCTGACGGTGAACTCTCCAGACGTGACGTCTCTCCAAGCTACAACAAAGATCACACCTTCAGACGAAGGATTTACGGTCCGATCCGGACCTCCTGACCTTCAGCCCACCTTGTAAATCATGAGGAACATCCTCCCTTCCATCGAAGCACGTGAGAGGGCAGGAGAGGATGGGAACGTCAGGTTTTCCATAGCTGCAGGAAACATGGGATGAGTAAAACATCAGAGGAGAACCCAAGGAGCACAGAACCAACCAGAACCCACCTGAAGTTCTCCACCACGTGCAGGTCGGCCTTCAGCGCCGGCAGGAAGAGCTTCAGCACTTCTGGGTTCTCCAGCAGCTCCGGGGGCGTTCCTCCAATCGAAGTGAGCCACCTGAGGAAGTCACCGTCTGATTGGTCACTTCTCTTTGGAGCTTTGATTCGAATCGCAGACTAGAAACACAAAAACAGAACATCGGTGCTGGTTCCCAACGTCCAGGCTGGAGAAGCCCCACGATGGAGACACACACGCGAGGTTCCTCATCAGAACCGGAGGTCCACAGCAGAGAGTGTGTGTGTGTGCGTGTGTGTGTGTGTGTGTGTGTGTGTGTGTGTTCCTACGCGCTCGTGTCCCGGTGAACTTGTCTGCTTTACGTTTTTAACCCGAACACGAGTCGTCCATGACGGACGCATGGAACCCTCCAGACGTAGGACAGGTGATCTGTTCACCTGCGCATCACGACGACACAGGTGCGGTCCCCGTCTACGTCTGCCGCACCGCAGCCTCTCAACCCAGCTTCCCTCTGGGATTCTGTTATCCCGGAGGACACAATCCCGTTTCTCTGAACAGAGGAAGCTCATGAATCCGACTCGGAGCCGGAACAGCTGTTCATCCCACATCTGAGCTCTGATACTGGAGTTGAATCATAAACATGGGAATTATGGGAACGTGACCAATGGATTTGATCCGAGACTCACAAACGGAGCGGACGCGCCGGACAGAAACACGTGGACCGGTTCCACGCCGTGGCGTCTCTTCAGGGCGTCTGCGACAGCGAAGCAGGTGAAGGCGCCAAAACTGAGGGAGATAAAAGGAGAGCGACGTTAGCATCGGAGCGTGTGATCCGCGCCTGCAGCAGAGCCATCCCAGTTCAGAGAATCATGGAGAAAACGTTCCGGTTGGACTTCGCTTCCCTCCTCCGTAGCTCGTTTTGTGTCGGAATTTCCTCAGAAGCTGGAACCTGTTTGTTTGGGAAAAATTCTCCCCAATTCTCCAAACCCAGATCCTTCTGCTACAGCTGCGGTCCGGACCGATCCACATCTGATCCCACCTGTGTCCGAAGAGAGCCAACGGCTTCTCCTTCAGCAGCGGCAGCAGGAGCGGCAGGACTTCATCAACAATCTGAAGCATGTTCCTAAAGAACGGATCTCTGGAGCGACTCTCTCGGCCCGGAAGTCTGACGGCAAAAACTGCAAACAGATGAGGAAGAAAGGAGGAAGAACTGAAGACGGATTAAAACACGTTTCCTGGAAAGGAGTCTAAATCGCTCCAAAAACATTTTTATCCCAAAATACAAAAAATAAAATTCCGGTTCTGATCTTTATCCGGATGTTCTGATACGTTCCCTCTCCTAACTTCATAAACGTGTTGTGAAAACGATTCTTTCGTTTGGCCTCTCAGGGCCTCCGTATGCGAGGTGCATCGATGTTGTTCCGAGCGCCGATACCAACTTCAGTCGTTCTGATTTAGATCCAAGAGCTGGAATTACTTCAACATAATTTTTGGGGGAATTTAAATGGAATTTCATGATTTTGGACGAAACTCCAACAGTTAGCGTTAGTGATGGTGAGTTGGTGGGCGGAGTTTCTAATCAGCCAATCAGGAGCTGATTAGTAAAGTGGAATCTTGTCAGAACGATGACGTGGTCGTGACGATTTCACGTCCAACAGGAAGTCAGAATCAAAACTCAAAGGAAAACTATTGTTTGCATTTCGGTGAACATCGCCTTCATCGGGGAGTCAACACGGACTTCCTGGAGCGTCTCTTGTTGTTTCGGCGGTATCTTCCCAGACGAGGAGACCCTCAGACCTACTTGTGTTGAGTCCAAGAAGCGCTCCTTTATAAAAGCTCTTTTTACTCCACAGAAAAACCATTTAAAAGGTCTCGATGATGAAAGTCTAATTCTGTACTTATTTCAGATTTTACTCGATTACTCAAAATTAGTTTTTATTTATTTGTTTGTTTTCTTTTATAAACGTTGAATGGATCTTACGTTACTTTCCTTCCTGCAGGAGGCTGAACCCCCACAGCCTCCTGCTGCTTCTGCGGAACGTCCAAAGGTCAAAGTTCAACAGGTGTTAACTTACCTTCGATGGAGCCGCTCAGGATGGTTCCCCAGCGGGCGTAGTGGACGGAGCCTCCACCTGCCCAGGGGAAGCAGATCAGCCGGCTCGCCGCTTCCGGGCTTCTCCTGAAGCAGCTCAGGACCTTCTCCATGTCAGAGGGAAGCTGCAGGATCCAGATGTTTGGTTCTGGAAGCTGGCTGGAACTCCAGCAGCTCCTCCTGCTTCCTGCTTCCTCCACGGTTCCTGTCTGCAGGATGGGCTTCTGGCGACACCTACAGGCTGGAGTGAGAACTCCACCCAGGACACACGCGCGCGTACACACACACGCGCGCGCATACACACATTAAATGATTATTTTAAAAGGGCGTTTATTCCTGTAGGAATAAAGCTGGCTTGTTTTTGACTTTTTTTGTTATTATGAGTGTGTGTGTGTGTGTGTGTGTGTGTGTGTGTGCTTGCGTGTGCGTGTGTGTGTGTGTGTGTGTGTGTGTGTGTGCTTGCGTGTGCGTGTGTGTGTGTGTGTGCGTGCGTGCGTGCGTGCGTGCGTGTGCGTGCGTGCGTGTGTGTGTGTGCGTGTGTGTGTGTGTGCGTGCGTGCGTGCGTGTGCGTGTGTGTGTGTGAGTTAGCACTGGGACAGGACAGACTGAGGTTTCTCTTCTCACCTCTTTTATATTTAAGCACATTTCTTTGTGCGTCGCCGGGTTTAAGTCTCAGATTCCGACACCGCTTCCTGTTTTCTGGGTCGGTAGTTCTGTAGATGGCACACTGACTCGACTGGCTGGGAATGAAAGCAGAAAAGTGTTTTTGATCCTGTTTATTTTAAATACATGAAGAGTTACTGGCTAGGCTGCATCGATTAGCCGCTTTAGTGAACTTCACCTGGAGGAGAAATCCTGTTTACTTCTGTTCTAATAATGAAGAAGAAAAACATCAAAGTAGAAAATTGTGTGGATAATGTAGATCTAGGAAGAGTAAATGAAATAAAATTTCTTGGTGTGATCATTGACCAGAAGCTCTGTTGGAAGCCACACATTACTGGTGTTCGGGGGAAACTGGCTCGGGTCGTTGCCGTCCTGGGGAAAGCAAAGGAGATGCTGGATCAGAAAGCCCTGCACATGTTATACTGCGCTTTACTACTATATATGAGTTAGTGTGTCGAGGTCTGGGGAAACACGTACAGACGATGACTATAACACAGAAAAAGGCCATTAGAATAATGGAGGGTACAGGGACCATACAAATGCACTATTTGTCGAAATGCAAGCTATTAAATTCCAAGACTTGGTGAAGCTCAAAGCAGCACAAATAATGTATAAAGTAGGAAATAAATCGCTTCCAAAAGAAATCTGTTTATTGTTCAAAGAGAGAGAAGGTGGGTATGACTTAAAGTGCTAAAACAACTTTAAAAACTATGTCAGTCACAATTGCAGTTAAATTATGGAACAGTCTAACAGAAGAGATAAAAGAAAGTAAAAACATAAACATCCATCCATTTTCATCCGCTTATCCGGAGTCGGGTCGCGGGGGCAGTAGCCTAAGTCGAGAGGCCCAGACTTCCCTCTCCCAGCCACTTGGGCCAGCTCCTCCGGGGGAGTCCCAAGGTGTTCCCTGGCCAGCGTGTCCTGGGTCTTCCTTTAGGTCTCCTCCCGGTTGGACGTGACCAGAAAACCTCACCAGGGAGGCGTCCAGGAGGCATCCTGACCAGATGCCTGAGCCTCCTCAACTGGCTCCTCTCGACGTGGAGGAGCAGCGGGTCTACTCCGAGCCCCTCCCGGATGACTGAGCTTCTCACCCTATCTCTAAGGGAGAGCCCAGCCACTCTTCGGAGAAAACTCATTTCGGCCGCTTGTATCCGTGATCTCGTTCTGTCGGTCTCTACCCAAAGCTCATGACCATAGGTGAGGGTAGGAACGTAGATCGTCTTCTGACTCAGCTCTCTCTTCACCACGACAGACCGGTACAACGCCCGCATCACTGCAGATGCAGCACCAATCCACCTATCGATCTCACGCTCCAGTTTTCCCTCACTCGTGAACAAGACCCCGAGATACTTAAACTCCTCCACTTGGGGCAGGACCTCATCCCTGACCCGGAGAAGGCATTCTACCCTTTTCTGAATCAAGACCATGGTCTCAGATTTAGAGGAGCTGATTCTCATCCCAGCTGCTTCACACTCGGCTGCGAGCCGCTCCAGCGAAAGCTGAAGATCACGTTCTGATGAAGCCAACAGGACCACATCATCTGCAAAAAGCAGAGACCTGATCCTCAGGCCACCAGAACGGATGCCCTCCACACCTTGGAGATCCTGTCCATAAAGGTTATGAACAGAATCGGTGACAACGGGCAGCCTTGGCGGAGTCCAACTCTCACTGGGAACGAGCCCGACTTACTGCCGGCAATGCGGACCAAGCTCTGACACCGGTCATACAGGGACCTAACAGCCCGTATCAGAGGGCCTGGTACCCCATACTCCCGGAGTACCCCCCACAGGGCCCCCCGAGGGACGCAGTCAAACGCCTTCTCCAAATCCACAAAACACATGTAGACTGGTTGGGCAAATTCCCACGCACCCTCCAGGATCCCCCTAAGGGTATAGAGCTGGTCCAGTGTTCCACGGCTAGGATGAAAACCACATCGCTCCTCCTGAATCTGAGTTTCAACAATCCGATGAACCCTCCTCTCCAGAACCCCTGAATGGACCTTACCAGGATGGCTCAGGAGTGTGATCCCCCTGCAGTTGGAACACACCCTGCAGCCCCCCTTTTTAAATAAGGGGACCACCACCAGTCCAGTGGGACTGCCCCCGATGTCCATGTGATATTGCAGAGCCGTGTCAGCCAACACAGCCCCACAACATCCAGAGCTTTGAAGAACTCCGGGCGGATCTCATCCATCCCTGCCACAGAGGAGCTTTTTAACCACCTCAGCACCAGAGACTTGAGAGGCCAACCCAAAGTCCCCAGACTCTGCTTCCTCACTGGAAGTCCCCCAGCAGAAGGAGGGAGTCACCAGAAGGAGCGCTCTCCAGCACCCCCTCCAAGGTCTCCAAAAAGGGTGGGTAGTCTGAACTGTAGTTTGGTGCATAAGCAGAGACCACAGTCAGAACCCGTCCCCCCACAAGTAGGCGGAGGGAGGCTACCCTCTCATTTACTGGGCTAAACCCCAACGTACACGCACCAAGATGGGGGGCAACTAGTATGTCCACCCCTGCTTGGCGCCTCTCAGTGGGAGCAACTCCAGAGTGGTAGAAAGTCCAACCCCTCTCAAGGAAACTGGTTCCAGAGCCAGAGCCATGCGTTGAGGTGAGTCCGACTATATCTAGTCTGAACCTCTCAACCTCACACACCAACTCAGGCTCCTCCCCCACCAGAGAGGTGACATTCCATGTGCCAAGAGCCAGCTTCTGTAGCCGAGGATCAGACCGCCAAGGCCCCCGCCCTCGACTACCACCCGTCACACACTGCACCCGACCCCTTTGGCCCCTCCCACGAGTGGTGAGCCCATGGGAAGGGGGACCCACGTTTCCTCTTCGGGCTGTACCCGGCCGGGCTCCCTGGGTTAAAGCCCGGCCACCAGGCGCTCGCCAGCGTGCCCCACCTCAGGGCCTGGCTACAGAGGGGGGCCCCGGTGACCCACGTCCGGGCGAGGCAACACGGTTTCCATTTATAGAATTCATCATAAGAGGTCTTCGGGCTGCTCTTTGTCTGATCCCTCACCGAGGACCTGTTTGCCATGGGTGACCCTACCAGAGGCAGAGATAACTTAGCTCCTAGGATCATCGAGACACTCAGACCCCTCCACCACGATAAGGTGGCAGCCCAGGGAGAAGGCAAACATAAACCAGTTTAAAATAAAATATAAAACCCTAATTTTAAACAAGTAAGAATGAAGAAAACAGGGTTGTTGTGCTTCTCTTTCTGTGTTTTTGGTTTGTTTGTTTCTCTTTCTTTCTATAAATGGTGAATCTGGGGTAGGGACAAATACGTACATACTGCCTACTCCTTTTCAAACAAATATGGAACGGTATTTTGTAATGATGTATGTGTGAAATGTTTGAAATAAAACTGAACTGAAGTAATTCTGGTTGATGACATATGAAGGCTTGGGACAGGCTCTGGGGGCACAAAGTTCACATTTCCTAATCTGAAGGCCTGAAGTTTGAGAAAAGCCTGAATTCTGTTGATCCCAGACATGAATAACAGAATGTCGATAGTGTTCTTTCCTTACAGAATCACGACGAGAACAGGAAATTACGTTGTTTCCGTTCCTGTCGGGTTTCCCTCTGTGGAGGCGGGACTGATGCTGATGTCATGTTCCAAATTTACCCCAGCCACACAGGAAGTATGACTTTCAAATTAAAATGCAGTAAAGACAATGAGTAAGTTTATTAATAATCGAAAGTGATAAATCTAAGTTCGATATTTTAGCAGCTAAACACTAAATAAATTAACTTCTTATTTAATGTTTTTTCAGCATATTTGAGTTGTTGTTCAAAGCGCTTTATAAAACCTCTGCATTATTTCAATGTTTTTTTCACAAACTTGTAAACAGACTTTTTTAAAATGATATATGACCCAAACTTGTATAGCGCTTCTCAGAGTAAGGACTCCAAAGCGCTTTACACTGATACCCACACAAGTTTCTGGTTATAACTTAAAGGCTTTTGTCATCTTGACAGTAAGTATACAAAAATATGTATAAAACTTTAGCCTAGCGAGGCTCTTTTATGTAATGTCAGGAATGCAGAACTGTCAAATACAAAGGTGGCAGTAACGGGAAAACAGGCTTCAACAAAAGTGGTTGTTTTCCACGTGGTCCTAGTGCTCAACCAGTGTCTGTTTAATATTGTGTAATGTTGTTTTTGGAAGGCAAAAATGCAGGGGACAAAAATTTACTTTGGTAAAAGTGTGTGTGTGTAGGGGGGGTGGGGGGCTGGGGGGGGGACATGCCTCCCCTGTTGTCCCTCAAAACTACACCCATGGATGGGTCACCTGCAGAGATTAATTTCCCCACATGTGATGATGGCTACGGGACTTTAATAAATTATTTGTGGAACTCTGCAACCTCCTGTTCAGGAGGTAGAGTGGGTCGTCCAGTAATCGGAGGGTTGCAAGTTCGATCCCGGGTCCGGATAGACTCCTGCTGTTGAGTCATTGGGCGAGACACTTAACCCACCTCACCTGCTGGTGGTGGTCGGAGGGACCGGTGGCTCCTGCGCCATTCCTCAGGGCAGCTCCTCGTAGCTCCTCCCCATCAGTGTGTGAATGGGTGAATTACACTGTAGTGTAAAGTGCTTTGGAGTCCTCTGACTGTGAAAGTGACTCCATGGGTCATGTTGACATGAGGCCATCTATCATGTATAAGCAGTTGTGTTTAATTAAAGAACTTCAGTGGAAAATTAAAACTCGTCAGCATGAAGGAAGGATTCGTTTCTGACACATTAGGATCATAATCTACGTAATATTTCCCACTTTGGTTGTTTGTCATTTCAACATTTTCTGTCTCATTTGGATCTTTTTTCCACTTCAGTTTGTTTACTGAAAAATCTATATTTGTTCCCACCAATAACTAAGATGTGACTCAGGAATTATTACCACGTTTATATTAAGTAATAATCAGAACAGAAGCAGGTTCCAGAGTGAATCATGACGTGCTTTTGTTTTGAAGGGCTGCTCCGGAAGCAGTTCCCTCCGGTTTCGCTAGCTTTCCGGTACAGCGGGTTTCTGACCGGTTTTCACGGAGGAGGACTCCGGGCTCAGGAACTTCTAATATCCGTCTGGTACCGAGGAAGACCGGACCCAACCGTCAGCAGGTAAATATTCGTGTCGGTCTACCGGTAGGGGGTCAGCCGGTTCGCTCGGGTTCGTCCCAGCCGGTTGGTTCCGACTCCCGGTCTGTGGTTCTCACTCACGTCCTCAGACTGAAGTTTAACCGGTTCTGTTTGGGTTCCAGCAGCGGTGACGGTTCTGCTCGGCTCGGAGCGTTCGGTGAGGCCCGGGAAGAGACTTCAAGTTACCGACGGCCCGGTTCCGGTCCACTTTACCGAGAAGAGCGAGAGCACGGACAGCCGGAGAGCGGTCAGCGGATCCACAGGCAGCGGCCCGGTCCACCGGCCCGAGACCTCGTGAATGGAAATCGGTACAACAGGTGGGTCTCGGACCGGTTCTTCAGTCATGTACCGGTCCGGTAGGTTTTGCTCAAACCGGTCTCACGGCTCTCAGTCAGGTGTGACCGAACCGGTACGGTCTCAGATCCGTCAGAGCAGCAGCTATCGGTTCTGGTTCCGTGGACCGTTTCTGTTGTTGGATCCAGGCACGGACTGGACTTCCTGACTGTAGAAATCAGTCCAAAGAAGTTTTTACAGAACCAGAACCAAAACCAGGATCAGAATCAGAACCAAGGTCAGGATCAGGACCAGAACCAGGATCAGGATGCTTCACACGGCTCATCTGAGACAGATTCTGGTTTTGACCCGAAACCTGACCCAACAGGACACAAACGTTAGTATTAAAGTGACAGTGTGCGGTTCTCCTGGCCGTAGGGCCAGTAGGTACCTAAGACCTTACTAATGGATGGATGCCCGTTAGGGTCAAAAACCCCTGGGAGCACGACCTCCAGCAAAATCATCAGGTCCGCGTTCATAACTGGCAGCAAGTGGCGAGGTAACTGTGTAGGAGAGCAACGTTCATTAATGATGAAAGTGTTATAACCATTTGTTACAAATCGGTAATGTATTCTGTCCTCACGGGCTTCCATAGAGGAAACGTAGCATCCAACATGGCGTCGCCCCGAGACGTGGACCATGTGTTTTACAGCAGGTTTTTATGGTTACTTGTTATGAGACCGCCAATATTTTCAACAACTGGGCATCTTTTAATTCGTTTACTACAACATTTATGAATATTTCCAGAAGTTAATGGTAAAAACTACACGTTGTCACTTTAATTATTCATTATTTCACAATCTGCTGGGCAGTGGTGTGTTCAAGGACCATGAGAAATGCCAGATCGTTGTTTATTTGACCGGTTCAGGTGTAGCTGACCACACGTTTAACAGCTGAACGCAGTCATCTCTGACTTATTAACCCAACATCGTCGGTCTTGTTGATCGTCTGTTCCTCACATGCTCTCCAGGTGAGGAACATCTTGTTGTGGTTTGTTTTCTTACACGTGATCCTGAATCCGGAGGAACGGAACCCGGAGCGATTTTAAACGTTTCGTGGTGAGAATTCCCTCCGGCGTTGGTCCGCCCTGCTGCAGCAACGGTCATTATTTCCTGTTTAACACACCTGCTGTCCTCTTGCTGCGGCTGTTGCCATGGTGAGCACGTGGTGACACTGGTGCTGTCGTCGTGGAGACGGCTCAGGGGAGGGAGCGACCTGTGGGGATGCATCGTTCTCCTTCCTGGCACATTCAGCACATCCAGCTCTGTGTGTGTGTGTGTGTGTGTGTGTGTGTGTGTGTGTGTGTGTGTGTGTGTGTGTGTGTGTGTGTGTGACATTTGTGGTCACCTTCTGTCAGAAGTTCTCCCGTGTGTGTGGCGAGTGTCTCGCCTTCCCATGATGCCGCCTGGAGAAGGTCGCCTCAGGCAGGAGGAACGTGCGAGCGCCTCGCTGGTCTTTATCTGGAAAGGTCGCGCGGTTCCGTGACCTTTCCGTTGTCTCGTCGACGGGAACAAAACCGTTTAATGTGAGGAAATCGTTAATGTCTCCCTCCTCATCAACCACTTCCTTCCTTTGGGCGTCTGCTTCTGACGCTCAGAACTCGTTCCGGACCTTTTATTTGTTCCTTCCAGCAGGCCGGGTCCCAAAAGTCCACCAATCAGCAACGAGATCCTTAGGTTGTTATTCTGACCAGCTGGGTCCGGTTCTGGTCCAGCTGGGTCCGGTCCTGGTTCTCCTGGTCCAGATGGGTCCGGTCCTGGTTCTCCTGGTCCAGATGGGTCCGGTCCTGGTCCAGCTGGGTCCGGTCCTGGAACTCCTGGTCCAGCTGGGTCCGGTTCTGGTCCAGCTGGGTCCGGTCCTGGTCCAGATGGGTCCAGTCCTGGTTCTCCTGGTCCAGCTGTTAAATGTCCTCCTCTGCAGGTTCTGCAGAAACCCGTTAATGACCCATTGGACCGTGGTTCTGCTGGGTCATTCTCAAAGTTCCGGAGGTCCAGATTCTCTCTGGGACATCAGTGAATGGTTTTCCGGTGTGAACGGGTCTCATCAGAACCGTTGTCTGCTCTGTACCCGTCCCAGCATCCGTTGCAGCTCCCGCCCTGTTTTCGTGTCCACGGCGACCCGGATATGGCGCCGTCGGAAAAGCCATCAAGCTCCTGGCCAACTGCTTCCAGGTGGAAATCCCCAAGATCGACGTGTACCTGTACGAGGTGGACATCAGGCCCGATAAATGTCCCCGACGGGTCAACAGGTACCAGACGGGACCAGAGTGGGTTTCTGTTTGTGGACTTGAGTCCGGCGTCTGAGTTCTGACGGGTTTTCAGGGAGGTGGTGGACTCCATGGTCCGGCACTTCAAGGTGACGATCTTCGGAGACCGGCTG